AAAATTGTCATATTTCAATTGGATCCTGTAAATTTTCCATAGCTGGGAATTTTCTCTCTGTTAAAAAGCACTGTCTGAGGAATTAATTTTTTTACCCGAAGAGCTAAAGTTTATGTACTATAGGACATTACCTACCTGTCTCACCATCATACCAATATAGGGGTATGTTCAGGGTTTAGAGCTCAGGCGCCCATGATCATGACCTCTCTCATTTTAATATAGAATTAGGGGTTTCGAGGCCCATTTCATAACAGTATTTCAATATACCCAAATATTCAGGAGTCATGAGAATATCAGCACATGTGGAGTATAAAATGGCAGCAAAATACCACTGCAAACAAATTCAATAAATACATTTCACCCCCACATAAAACATACAAAGAAACTCTCCGATCCTTCGTACATTACAAACACCGTAACTGATTTTTGCAGCCACCTTTACAAAATCTCCCAAATACCCTAAACACCTAAACTATCTAACCACCCTGTATATGAATCGGAAAAGAAAGCCACCCACACCTATGGAAAATTCTACCTACGCATCAAAAACTATGATGACACGTGACACCTTTTACTAAACTTCCTCTTAAATAATAAAATCCACCCAGTAACTTGTGAAGATATGCAACATTAGCTAAGCTACATGGCATAATTTCTCGCATAAAAGCAATTGCACAACATGCAAACTTCCTATAGAAAGCAATACAAAATCTATTTTGAGTAGCTTTGCAAATATGAATAGTATCAAGGTTCAGAGGTGTACTCAGCTTTGGTCGTCGCGTTTAGATTTATTGCGATTCATCAATATGCCACTTGGTGCGGTAAATTTCATAATTGTTTAATCACGCCCATAGTTAATGTGAAATTTTCTCAATTATTGAGTACAGAGTAGTTAATGATCGGTACCAATGGCGGGATAAACTCTGTGCAATTTAAACCATACAAACCGTTCCGAAAAGGAAAGTTTGTAATTGTACAATATCCAAATTCGTGATTTAAGACGCTTGAACTGAATGTCTTTATATTAGTAGGGGTGCAACAGAGGTCCCCTACAATCATCACAGTCGACAAATATTTCACAATTGGAAAAATGGAAGTGAAAAACATTGTCATTTCACAACTACTTCCATCGCTAGTAGTCGCCTCATACGACATCCAGGGCCCTCTGCGATAGTTATTTGTTTCCGCCCTACACGGGCAATATATGTACGAAATCGCAAAAAAATTGGGACAATTGGAAAGTACCGTTACACGACGACATTACCGACAGTAAGTAGTGTGATTCCCGGAACTGGTGAGAGAATTTCATTTCATTTCTCGCTTATAGCGCGTTCGCATCTCTAGATGCAATATGGGGCTTGTGGGCATACAGTACATGCTTGCCAAATGAACAACAAACTTGCCAATGACATCACAAGGAGATTGTGTTGTGTCTTAGTATTCAATCATATGTCAGTTTGGCATCAATGCAGTGAGGAACAAGGATATCGTTATCGGAGGATGACGCACATTAGTAAAGAGGCATTTAGTCCATCAGATCCCATACTGCATCAGCGAAAAATATATCACGCACATGCGATCGATTGAAACAAATTGGTTAATGAAATTTTAATTACCCTATGTCAGTAATTTTAAAATCCGGTCATGTATCTACTTTTCTTTCATAAACGTCCAAAAGTGCGCTCACAAACTGGCGTTGCTCCTGTCTATTCTTTTGTTCTAAATTTTCGTTTTTACTGACTGCTATGAAGTGGTGTAGTAAAATTATGAAAATGGCCCTTTGGTAAGGGATGCTTTTTTTGATGACTCTGTTGATAACCTTTTAAGAAGTCCCCATCGGTGCGATCACTGTCAAGGTCGACAAAGGCGCTCGCCCACTCTGCCATGAAACTGGGAAAAAATTGGGACTAGGCGGGAACTTGAACTTTTTACTGTCCTGACCTCCTGGACCACTCTCTGAACTCTGTTTCTGAAGAATCACCAAATTCCTCAAATCAAGCAGAAACGACTGCTAAAAAAGCCCTCTTTTTCGTCCATTTGCCTTCTTATTCAATCATCCTATCACAGACCAACAAATCCTTCGCCTTTATCATCCTTAACGTTGACCAATCGAATCCACCCTTGAGCATCGCCATCTGCGAAAGTGGACCACCGGTTCCTTAACTCGTCCAATGAGTACATCAAGTTTAAAAGCGCCACTGTTTCCTATTGTCCAAACCTTCCTTATCGCAACCTAACTGTCAATAAATCATTGATAATATAAAGCGATTATTTACATAAAATTTAAAACAGTCTAATAAAAAAATTATATATATATATATATTAAATACAGATTTAATGAATATGAGCGAAATTCCAAATGAATAACCACATTTACGCTTGAGATTTTAAATTATACAGGCCATCCCAGGGTTAAAATCAGTACCATTACCTTACAAAAATGTCCAACTGACGTAGGAAGAAATTGTCCAGAGGAAGATGCCTTTGAGGCGAAGGTTTATACACAAAACTACAGTGTAAAAAATATAGAATGAATTTAAGGATGGGTTACGTTTAGGCATGGATTCGAAGAAAGTGCAAGTGCAAGTTCGCCAATGCTTAACATTATGGAAAGCTATGCCTAAGAAAAACACCTTGACAAAACCCCATACCGAATAGCCGGCACCGGGATTCGAACCCACAACCTCTCGAATACGGGTGGCAGCCATTCGCATAATGCTAGGACGTTACTAAAGTCCGTGGTTTCACTTTGTTGTAACAAAATTAATTACTTCATTAACGTAATTTAGATGAGAAGCGTTTTTATTTAAATAGACCAAACGCCAGCGGGCACTTCATAAGGGGCCAATTAGATTCTATTAATTTTCAAACATTTGTTGAATTCTTTTATTACATATAATAAGCAGGTGTACCGTGAACGATGACAACTTTATCACACAACTTAATCCTTGCACTCGGCAGTGCACGAAACTTTCTGAAACTAAGATCCTCACTCGCAACTTAATGCTAGTATTGACGATCGCCGTCGTCCATTGGCTCAATCGCTCTGATTGTAAAATCCCTTGTCTAAATAAGATCCTGTTGATGTTTTAACTTTAAGAAAAAGTCAAAATTCGTCAGAGTAGTGTGGACCTTCGTCTATTTTAATCAGGGACTAATTCTGTTAATCTTTACCTACGTGTAAAAAATTATTAAGCTATGCAGGCATTTTTGTAAAGAAGGACGTAGCAATTGTACGTAATTTATAACTGTGTAAAATTAATTAGTCGAATTACGTGGAAATAATTTATTTCACTTAATTAAATTGTAAAGAGATTTCTCGAAATCACATAATGTAACAAATCTTAAATGTTTCCCGTCGTACTTTAACATCAGCCGTAATACGCGAAATGGTTAATTATCCAGCGTATGTGAATTTTTATTTAAAAAAAAGAGATATAAAACGAGCACATTCGTATTGTTAGAGCTACATCAGAATCGTACATTTCCATTATGTTAAAAACGGCGATAGTTAAAATCGCCTGGAGAGAGCGGCCGTCAAAATTCGATACCAAATCCTCGGAATATTCAAATGACTCTATGTACTGCAACAATTTTAATCTCCTGATAATAAAAATGAAAATAAATGTTCATCGCCGGAGCATGTATCCGAGCGTGGCCATATAAATTATGGCCATCAGCCCATCAGAGAGGGAGTAAGCCGGGCTATTTGTTATTTTTCATTTCGAAAAATCCAGTAATTTAGTTTCTGTAGTGTATGCAGCTCGCTCCCGTATCACATTTCCTGGCTTTTTATGGCGCAATGATACATCATTCAATATCGGCTGTATTAATGGCCGGTCTCTCGCTACTGGACCACGGACGCCCTCAACCCCTTCTGTTGCTGATAACACATACACACGCAGAGTCCTTCGAATAAAATCGTATTGAAACCGCTTCGCGGCCCTTTTAACGACTTACCACTCGAACGTTATTATTGAACTTGACCGACGAGCTAGTTTTCTCGATACTACTCTCCAATAATTACTCGTAGACATTTGGCGACCCTTATATTTGGCTCTTCGTATTCAAGAAACTAATCATAAAGTCGTTTAACTCACTAATTAGGGGTTCTGTATGTGGAGGAGGTGTTTGATTTAAACTAAAAGCCATTAACATTTAGATTACATAGTCGCCCATCGTAAGTGCGCGATATTATTAAAAAATAAAGTGCACTTTAAACTGTTCCATTAGCATTTCATATCATATCTGTTGTTTCAGAATTTCACACAATCAGTGAATAAGTTTCATGACTTCCATTGATTGACCTAATGCATTAATTATTTCTTAAACTTTAGGGCCTTATGTAACAATTTCCGTCACATGCGCTATATAAGGGTCGTTCAGGAGACATCTACCACTTATTAGTTTGAAGGTACTAATCTATACGGTGGCGTTTAGTTCAGATTCTGAATAAGGATTGGGTCCGAAAGAAACTAGTTGTTTAAAATGAAATGAAAAAGCTTATATTAATGACACAATTCGATAATTATGGCACTACCATTTTGTTTCGGTTACGTGTACAAATTTGTGATACAATAACTGTTGTATTTATTTGTATCAAGTTCACTGAATTATTAAAAAATGTTGCCATAGAAATAAGGTTGTTAGAAAAAAATTATAAAAAACCGTCATAATAAATTTAATTTAAAAGCTCTTGTCAAATTGTTCTTCGACCCGGACAATATAATATATCACATTAGGTAAGAGTCAATAACATTGGTCCTTCGAGAAAACGAACCGCACTTGGATTGTAATTAGTCCTTCAAGAAGAGGAGCTGTACGTGATTGTTACATCGACAAGTTACATCACGTGGGTATAGTCATATTGGTAATTTCCCCAAGAGAGGAAGCACTCGTGAACGACATTGATCCCTCAGACAAGGCATCAAGAAATTCATAGAATAACCAAGATGTCAAAATCATTAACTTTTCCAAGACGGAGTGAACGTGTGAAAGCCATGGGTAAACATATTGAACAACGACATGACAGCCTTCCTGACAAGCAAGAAGAGATTCAGATTCTTCAAACCAATGAAGATACGCAATCGTGCAGGTCAAGGAAATCATCTAGTAAAAGCAACTGTTTCGTAAGACAACAACTCAAGATTGACGCCGAGATAAAGAAGCGGAAACTGGCGCAAGAGATTGTGGATTTAGAATTGGCGATGCAGGTCTCCAAGTTAGAACAAGAAGAGGTCGACGGGAATTCTGAATCAGTAGACAGTGGGTCAGAAAGTAATAGGTCATTTGTCGTAGAGATGCTTCACCTGCAAAGGATTTGTCATCTGAGGTAGGATCTAAATATAATTTGCGTAACCAACAAATAAATAAATCTCAAGTACCAGTCGAATTCTCAACATTCATAACCAGACAAGCAATGCCAAAAGATTTGCCAATATTTAATGGTTATCCCACAGAGTGGCCCAATTTCATATTTCAGTATGAAAATTCGACAGCTATTTGTGGTTACACAAAAGAAGAGAATCAATGTAGATTACAAAAATGCCTGAAAGGTAATGCTAGAACGATTGTTGAGAGTCTTCTTATATTACCAAGGAATGCGGATAAAATCATTGATATGTTGAGGAAAAGATTTGGCCGTCCTGAATTAATAGTCTTTATGCTCTTAGATAGAATAAGGAACTTTCCCGTAGTGAAAGAAGATAAACTTGACATGTTCATTAATTTTTCTGACAACGTCAAAAATGTAGTAGGTACCATGGAAACTCTAAACCAAGAGGATCATTTGCGAAATCCAATTCTACTTCAAGAACTACTAAATAAATTACCAACCTCACAGAAGTTACGTTGGCTGGAATATATTTCTAGAAAAACGGTTCAACAACCTAAACTGATAGAATTCAGTGCGTGGTTAGATCATAGGGCTTCGATTGTTAGTCAAATTGAAATGCCAAAACTGTCAGATACGGTAACTAATGTAACTAGGGATAAACAAAAACACAATAGGAGAGATGTTACTCTGACCACAAACAATAGTAGAACAACAAACCCCAAATGTGCTTGTTGTGGAAATGAGTTTCATCATCTTAGTAATTGTTCAAAGTTCAAATCTCTAAGCGTTGATGATCGATGGCATGTAGTCACATCCCAAAGAATATGTTTCTCTTGTCTTATACCTAATCATACTTTGAGGACATGCAAATCAATTAAAATATGTGGGAAGAATCAATGCACAAAGCCTCATCACATATTATTGCATAAAGATAATGATAATAATCATAATAGAAGCAATCAAGGTTATCAACATGAAGTTAATTATCATCGCTTAACAAGTAACAATGTTTTATTGAAGATTATTCCTATTACAATTAATACAAATGGAAATTATGTACATACTCATGCTTTACTGGATGATGCATCCACAGTTACACTCATAGATCAAGACTTAGCTGATGAACTTCATATGGATGGACCTCAACGTACACTCACCATTCAGTGGACAAATAATCAAGTTCGTCAACAAGACGATTCAAGAATAGTAAGTTTCAGTATCATCGGACAACAAAAGAATAAGAAATATCAATTGCGTCGTGTATGGACTATGAAAGAAATGTCCCTACCTACTCAATCCATTAATAGTTCAGAAATGATGGAAAGATTTCTTACTTAGGTAATGGGGTTTTGTCTATGACAAATGCAAAACCTAAGGTGCTAATCGGACAGGACAATTGGCCCCTACTAGTTAACAAAAGGATTATTTCTGGACCTTGGAATGGCCCTGCCTTAAGCAAGACACTGCTGGGATGGGTACTTCATGGAAATGTAAGCCAGACTGCTAACACATTTTCAAACAAGCATACCACTAGTCACGTATGTCACATGAGTAGTGAAGATAAGGACGACTTGGATGTTTTACATGACTTAGTTAAACAACAATGGCAAATAGACTCGTCTGGAGTATATAAGCTTGAAAAAGCAATGTCCAAAGAAGACATGGTCGCTCAGTCTATAATGGATAGAACCATGACAAGATCAGGAGGAAGAATTGAAACCGGACTCCTCTGGAAAGATGAAAATGTAGTACTTCCCGAAAGCAAGAAAAATGCGATGAGAAGACTTATTTGCACTGAAAGAAAAATGGACAAAAATGAAGAGTATGGCAGAAGATATTGTCAGAAATTCGATGAACTGGTGAAAAAGAAGTATATACGAAAATTGAACAACAGCGAGATATGTGGAGATCAATTCAAAGTCTGGTATTTACCTCATTTTGGTATAATTAATCCAAATAAGCCTGATAAATTACGCATTGTTTTCGATGCTTCTGCCAAGAGTAATGTGTCAGTTTGAACGATTTTTTATTGACAGGTCCGGACAAATATAACTCTCTCTTTAATATACTAATTAACTTCAGGATCTGCAGATATGCGTTCACAGCTGACATTAAAGAGATGTTTTTACAAGTTCGCGTTAAGAAAGACGACTGTAGTGCACAACGCGTCCTTTTCAGAGAGATGGATAGAACGAGAGAACCTGACGTTTATGAAATCGAAGTTGTTTTCTTTGGATCGACTTGTGGTCCTTGCTTAGCTCAGGAAGCTAAGAATAAGAATGCACAAGAGTTTAAACTGACTCATCCAGATGCTGTTCACGACATTATAGAGAAGCATTACATGGATGACTATTTGGGTGGAGCAGACACAATTGAAGCAGCCCATAAATTAATTGCAGATGTGATTTATATACACAGTAAGGCAGGTTTTCAGATTTGCAATTGGATTGCGAATGATATCAAAATTATTGACCATATTGATTCCAAATTAGTGGCCGATGGAATGAAAACTTTGAGAAATGAAAACGATAAGAATATCGAAAGAGTACTTGGCATATTTTGGAACCCAATTAATGATACTTTCGAGTTCAAAACCAAATTCCACAAAATTGAAAAGGATTTGTTGGAAAATATAAGAAGACCGACGAAAAGGGAGATTTTGAAAATTGTAATGTCAGTTTTTGATCCACTGGGATTTATTACAAAGACAAACATATTGATTCAAGGTAAGATGCTGATACAGGATGTTTGGAGGAGCCAGTTAGGTTGGGACGACGAAATTACAGATAACTTGGCGAATAAATGGAACATATGGATTGAGGAATTGAAGAAAATGTATAATTTCAAGATACCACGACAATATTTCACATTCGATAGGAGTTCAAGTCATTTGCAGCTGCACATATTCTGCGATGCTTCAGAAAGATGCTATGCTTCAGTAGCTTATCTGAGAATACAATATGGAAATGAAGTACAGGTCAGTTTCGTAAATGCCAAAGCAAGAGTGTCTCCTTTAAAACCTATGTCAATACCAAGGTTGGAACTTCAAGGGGCATTAATGGGTGCACGCTTAGGTAACTATCTAATGAAGAATTTAAACTTGAATATTTCATCCACGACATATTGGACTGATTCAAAAACAGTTCTCCATTGGATTCGATCGGAAGCTGGACGTTTTAAAGTATTTGTAGCCCAAAGACTAGGTGAAATTCAAGAATTAACATGTGTAACTGACTGGAAATATGTTAGATCTTCAGACAACGTTGCGGACGAAGCGACGAAATATGTTATCAACTCCTCAGTATCAGCAGATTCTAGGTGGATATGTGGGCCAAAGTTTCTACTATTGAATTCCCAGGAATGGCCAAGAGAAATCGAACATGATTTGAAAATTGATTCGGACAATTTAGAAATGAAAAGACTGGAGTATACTTGCATCAACTTTTCAGCACAAGATTTGATCCCTGATATTCCTAATCCTGAAAGATTTTCAAAATGGACGAGACTTCTTAGAGCTACAGCCTACATAATCCGAGTAAGAAACATACTACGAGCAAAAGTTTTCATCCGGAACGAAATTACCGTTGAAGAGTTGTATGAAGCTGAAATTATTCTTTATCGAAAGGTACAGATGGAATCTTTTCTAGAAGAATACAAGATGTTACAACAAGGTCAAATAATCAAGAAAACGAGTCGCCTCTTTTCATTGTCTTGTACGTTCAGAGAAGAGGACAAGATGATGAGGCTAGATGGACGATTGAATAATTCTTCATCTTTGAATTTCGATACGAAACATCCGATAATATTAGATCCAAAACATAGAATAACTAAACTGATAATTCAACATTATCATGAAAATGCATATCATTTTGGACAAGAAATAGTACTCAACAAATTACGATGTAAATTTTGGATTTTACGTATGAGACAAGCAGTGAAAAATGTTTTCCATAATTGTCAGCAATGTAGCAATAGGCGAGCCAATCCCATGATACCAATTATGGGACAATTACCGTTATGCAGAATAGAACCAACAATCAGACCATTCATAAAATGTGGAGTGGATTATTTTGGACCCTTTGAAGTTGCAGTGAAGAGAAGCAGAGAGAAAAGGTATGGAGTTATTTTCACTTGTTTAGTAACCAGGGCAGTTTACTTAGAAATTGCTCATGACCTCACGACTAATGCTTTTATAAATGTACTCCGGCAATTTGGTTGTAGACGTGGGTTTCCTCACGAAATCCATAGTGACAATGGATTGAACTTTAGAGGGGCTGAAAGGGAAATTTCGCAACATCTTGACAATTTACAACAAAATGAAATAATAGAATTTTGTTCTTTGCGAGGAATTAAATGGCATTTTAATCCTCCACATGCACCACATATGGGCGGCATATGGGAGCGGCAAATTCAAAGCATAAAGAAGATATTAAAGGAAATTCTGAATACTAGGTATCCTCAAGAACATATACTCAGAACCTTCCTCATAGAGTGCGAAAATATATTGAATTCCAGACCTCTGACACACGTTTCTTCCGATTCTCATGACTCTGAACCTCTAACACCAAATCACTTCCTGATCGGACCAGATTTTGTAGCACAACCTTGGACTGTGACTACTGACAATCGAGATCTTAATCTTATGAACAGTTGGAGGTCAGCTCAGCGTTTGGCAGACTTCTTTTGGAAGCGATGGCTTGATGACTATTTACCAACAATTATTAAACGGTCCAAATGGTATCAAGAACAGAAGAATATCAAAGTTGATGACATTGTTATAATTGTTGATCCAAATGGAACAAGAAATGATTGGCGAAAAGCAAGAGTAGTTAAAACGTATCCTGCCAAAGATGGTAGAATTCGTATAGTTGACGTCAAGGATGGGAATGGAAAGGTATACCGAAGAGCGCTGTCCAAACTCATTGTACTTGATCTTCAGTAGTAATTGCTGGAAGAGAGGCAATTACTAGGGTGGAGAAATGTTGAATTTATTTGTATCAAGTTCACTGAATTATTAAAAAATGTTGCCATAGAAATAAATAAGGTTGTTAGAAAAATTATAAAAAACCGTCATAATAAATTTAATTTAAAAGCTCTTGTCAAATTGTTCTTCGACCCGGACAATATAATATATCACATTAGGTAAGAGTCAATAACACCATCCATTCCAAACCCTCTGTAATACTTTCCCCCACAAAACTTGTTACTTTTTAGGAAAGGGTCATGAGATTGTTTCCCCCTAAGAAGACCGGAGTGTGCTAGTATGACATAGCCCCCCCCCCCACACACACACCATAGGATTAAATAGGGTTAGAGCAGGGTATCATACAACATTTACAGGGTGTCGATTTTTACTTTTAGCCCTCAGAGCTCATAATATGTAACTTTTTAGGAAAGGGTCATCAGACTGTCTCTTTCTAATGAGTATTGCAGAGAACATAGCACCAGAGTCTGGGGGTATGCAATACCCCCCTCCACAAAAGGATTGAAGGGTTACGGCAGGTTATGCATTACCTATGGTACAAAATTTACAGGGTGTCGACATTTGGAGGGCCGATTTTTCAATAAATTATATGGATAGTGGAGGTGAGTAGTCAGCGGAATGGAAGAGTGTCCTATTGGTATCTTTTAATCTTAATGTCTTATAGAGCATTCTTTTCTTAATGGAAGTCATCCATTTTCCTCAAACGGAAGGTGTTTTATTTCTTTCCTTCGCACTTTAATCGATGTTTCAGAAGCTATCACTTGCTCTAGAAAAACAATGTAAGATTTCACGATCCCATTTATTGTTTATTGTTCGTTAACGAATTAGGCGATAGAAAAGGGGCGATAATTGGCACCTTTTTTAGGTTTTTTGATAATGCTTATCCCACTTCAAAATCAAACTCGTTTCCCTGCACTATGCGAATATCACAGTTTGAGCCCGATGGCTGATCGATGCGCAATAATTTTGGACACCGACACCTACGCACCGGGTGAAGTGGTCAGTGGTAGGGTCAAGTGTCAATTTCATCACGAAATTAATGTTAAGGGTGAGTTTGATTCGCGTGTTCCAATTTATCTTCCTCCCTTTTGTTTAGGGATACAAGTGACGTTTAGAGGGCGCGTCAAGGTAAAGTGGCAGGAACGTAAGTACACCTTCAGGATGGACGAAAGGGAGATATTCAACGTGGAGTCGAATTTATTGGAGGGCGAAACGACGCTTCCACCGGGAATCTACAATTACCCATTCACGTTTACGTTGCCTTCCAATATCCCATCGTCCTTGAAGGAAATGTATGGGAGCGTCAAATACAACGTGCGAGCGGTCATCGATCGACCCTGGGCCTTAAACCACGAACGCAAACAGGCCTTCACCGTAGCATCGTTTAACAATCTCAATCAAATGGAGTGGCTTCGTGTAAGAGCCTCGCGTGGTGTCACGCTAATTGAACCTCCTCACTTTCCAGCGGCCCTCCATCCACACCCTCCAGAAGAAACCGCTATTACTCTTTGGCCAGTCCCACCCGATTACGCTCACGGTCAACTTGCCGAAGAGCGGTTTCGCCCCTGGCCAAACGGTGGCCTTCACTGCGAGCCTTAGGAACGAGTCCAGGGTCCACGTGCGAGGGGTGCGGTTCCAAATCGTGCAAGGATTCGAGTTTCACATTCACACGCGCAGTCGCAGGTACAACTCGGTGGACGGTCAGGAGTTCGCGATTAAGCAGAGCGAGGTCGCTCCGGGCGAAGAAAACTCTTGGAACCTTGAGCTGAGGGTGCCCGAAAAGGTTTTCGGCGCGACTTTGAACGATTGCAAGTTGATTGTGGTCTTTTGCACCTTACGAGTAAAACCATCGATTCTGTTTGGGCGATTGTAATTAGTTTCTTTCAGGGAGTTGTTCGTATGCCCTTCCCCCACAAAGATTACGTCATAAGTGTGCCGCTCGTACTTGGCCAAGAATAGATTGCTTTTGGAGTACCTATCTCTTCGGATTATTTTTATGGTACAATGTAGTGAGACAATTTTTTATACCTAGGTTTTTCGTAACTGTGCTTTTTTATTTTTTGGATGACGCAAATAAAATTTCATGAACGATTTTGCAGTCTTCGCCCTTCAGAGTTGGGAACATTTAGGCCTTTGGGCTATTCAAGACCTTTGGAATCAGAATTTTCACAGCTTTCAGAGCCTTGAGAACCTTTAGAGTATTCGGACTCTTCAATTATCTAAGCGATCAGCACCAGTAGCCTTCAGAGTCTTGAGACTTTCGGAGTCTTGAGACCCCCAGAGCCCTAAGAATCTAAAGGGGCATCAATCTAGGAACCTTTAATCTTCAGATTCTTTGTATTCATAGTATTCATTACTGTTTCTTCAATTTGAAGCACGCTTATTGCACAAGATATCAATCCCTCTCAGTCTCCCTCTCCTCAGTTTTCTATTGACTCATTTATCTTCACATAATCTTTCTTCCTCCCATCCTTCGTGCTTTCTCCTCTACGTCCACCTTTGTCTCCATTCAGTTTCCTCTTGTTCTGCGTCTGCCTCTCCCACCCTACTTCTCTATGTGTCTCCTCGTTCCATTCTCACCACACCCTTGCATTTCAGGGTTTAGGATCTTTACAGCTTTCGGAGTATTGACACATGAAAAGCCTTCAGAGTATACACTTACCCGCGATAAGAACAAAGAGCTCTGAGCGGAACTTGATACGCAATTGCCGATAAGCTGGAATCTCTCCCGATCAAACCCTTCCTCCTAATTATTTCGGCAACCAAAATCGATCAATGCGAACGGTCAAGGTCTTCGTTTTAATCTTTGAGCACGACCCCTCTTCGCGCCCTAGCCCAAAGTGGGGACCTTGTTGGGCACGTTCCTCGCTTTGGCAATCATTGCGACTTTCCGTTTTCAGATGCGTTCGGAATTCTCTTCTAAGAAAGCTTGGAATTCAGCTTCCTTCTTCCACTAATTTAACTAATTTGAAATAAAAAACAAAGAAAAACCATAATTATATTTTTATAATCATATTTCTCGGAAAGATTACATCACATTCGCTTTCGCTCTTTATATCCGATGACTAATCTTTCATTGCGCCTCGATGTCTATCTGGATTTCTGGAATATTCGCTACAATATTTTATTTATACTATCAAAGATTTTTATAGATTGGCGAAGGTAAATTTTGATAAAAACAGGTCAATTATTCCCTGATTTTTGAAAATCTATGGGAATTACAAGGACGTTATCAAAACTTTTGTTGATAGATAAAGGAGACACTCGCCGGCGACACTAACTTCTAGAAACAACCACGTAGGACACTACGAGAAGTGGACACAGACGTAAGTGTCAGACAAACGCGTCGACGGCCTACATTTCAGAAAATCGAACAAGCGACAGAAGAGGCAACCTAATGGTGGGGTAAAGCAGGTTCGTAGAGATATCTCTCTGATCGGGTGGCTTTGCAGGATACGTCCAGGGAGACTGTGCAATACTATTGGATGCTGCTCTCGAACGAAATGGCGGACATCGGTCAGAAAATCGCAGAAACCGCCAAAAAGGTTCCGGAGTTCTTTTCGAAGGCGAAGAGGGAAACCTATTCACCAGGCGTGTTATGTGACGTAGAATTACGATGTTACGGTTTTGATAAATAAATGTTACCTATTATAATTATGGTTAAATAACAGCTTTACCCATTATAAATTTGGCCAAACTTGGAAAAGAAACGCTTGATTTCCCAACTAGCCCGGCGAAATCGTACGATAACGCTCAAAATTAAAACTTCTGTAATTGCTTGCTCGGCTCTTAAATACCTAGAACGTGACTAACGCATCTTCACAAATTAGCGCGCTTCCAGTGACACTATACCCAACCAAAGCAGACACATCTAATTAACTATCAGTAATTATGTTCACTTAATTCGCCGAGTTAAAATTTCTAAATTCGGAAATACAGTAATGCGTATCGTTACTTTGAATTTTCAGGTCAAGCGATATCTACGTACCTACGGCGACCATGCAAGTACAATCCTGGTTTCAAATTAACATTGCGAAAGTAAAATCGGCTAAAAATATTCATTTCGCATCTTCCAAATGACGAGAGCCTTCGGATGCTGCAGAAATAATGTAAATAACCCCACGGGAACGGTTACAAAACTGTTAAATTGCTTTTTTTGACTATCGACAGTTAAAAACGGTGCTACTAATTAAAACAATTCTACACTCCATTGTCATCTCCTGGAATGTAAATAATTAGGTCTTCGCAATTCAAGCGCCCGGATTGAGTCCATCCGTGTGTTGATTACATAACGTAGAATCCACGTACGAAAACGAATGCGTCGCCCCCTTGGACCTCGTCGTCGTTGCCGGGCTTGAGTGGTTCAATGATCAAGGAGGCGTGTAACGCGCCCCGAGTGCTAATTCAGACCTCCCGGTCATGGCTAACTCACCATGATCAATCGGCTGTGTCTTCGTGTCAGACCGCCCACTAGGCGAGCATTTGGAGGGTTAGGGCCGTTCGCCAATTACCGACCTTGAAGCGAAACCAGGCCTGTTTTCTGCTACCATAGAACCTATTCTCTTGGGAGCTTTGGGGTCTCGGAAGACGTCCCCTTGTTAGATTACGTGGTGGGCGGGGAGCTTGGAGGACGAAATTTCATCCGTCGGACATGGATGACACAAACAAACCCAATAAACCACAGGGAGCGTCCCAGGTCACCGCGCCTCAAAACATCAAACCACGAAAGCGCATCTCCGTCTGGCCCAAACGGGTGAAATTGCACACCACCCACCTCCTGTGACCCAACCTTGACCCATAGACAGGCTCTAAGAGAGACCTCCGGTCAGGCGATCAAACGCTACACTAGCGCCCAGGTTCAGGGATTGCAGGTACCCGGGCAAGATCTTAAGAATCTCGTGCGAGAGCAACTATTCCCTTGAGTGGTTGAAGGGGGTGGTTGGTAACCTCCCGCAATTGTGAGAGGCTGGACACCTAGGCAGCGCAGGAAGACTACCTCCTAGACTCCGCGAGACTGCCACCTGGGTCCCGGGGAAAACTGAAAACCCGTTGGCGGTCAGGCGTCGGCGCTTGGAGGTGCAGAATTCCTGGGCAAACGTAAGCACCTGGTGTCTCCTCCACACAGCCGAGAAGAATCTACGTCAATGGAGGCTGTTAGCTTTCGCCTTTGGAGAAAAGAACCAGGCTAACCTAATTGCCGGGGGGGGGGGGGATAGTTATGGGTTTTCCTCTGTAAAGGTGAGGATTGGTAACCCTGCTGAAACGGACTAAGTGGGAGTACCCACCTCAGTAAAACCACCACGACCACTGCAACAAGCCACGAAATCATCACCGCTCAGGCGGCCAAGGAAACCTGTGGTTTGTGCTTGCTCCGGCGTCAGCAACTCACTCGGACCGATTTCCAACTGTGAGGAGTTTGCGAATATTGATGTGCTGCCGGAATCTGATTCTAGTAACGGCGGATGCTTTAAATTGAAGGAAGAGGATATGGAAGGCGAGTTAGGCAGAATTCATTCTAACGTTGTGCTTCAAATTCAAGAGCTTCGTGAGCCTTAGGAATTTTAAGAACTTCGATATTAAGGGATTCCAGTGTATCAGGAGGTTCAAGAACTCCAGGAGCTGCGGGAGCTTTAAGAGCTTCAGGTCCCTCAGGAGAATTTCATCAAGCTCGGGTGCATCAACAGCTCCAAAGACATCAAGAATTTCAAGAACGTGAGAGTGCGAGTTTCGAGGGTTTCAAGAAGCTCAATATTTTAACAGTTTTAATGGCACAGAGAGATTCAAGAGCTTTAAGTGAATTACGTCTCGAGACCTTCAAATTTTCAAGAGTTTTATGAACTCCCAGAGCCTGAAACGGTACAAGAGGTCCAGAAGCTGCAATAATTATTAAGGGTTAAAAAACCGAAAATGTTTCAATAAGCTAAAGCTAAAAGCTTCAAGAGCACCAACAGTTTCAATCGCCTAGATTTTCAAAACCCCACAATTCCAACTACTTAAGGGGATTAAAAGTTTCGAGAGCTCTATGAGCTTAAAACCTGTAATACCTTCAAGAGCCCAAAGAGCTGCAAAAGGGTCAAAATCTTTAGGATACAAAAACACAGAGCTTCAGGAAGCTCAAAGGCGCAAGGTCTTTCACATCAGCTTCACGAGCTTCAAGTACAGGAGATCTAGGTACGTCCACAGCAGCGCGATTACGTTCAAGAACTTCAAAAGTCCCTAGAGATTCAGAAGCTTCAACCATCTCTAGAACGTCAAGAGGAAAGCTTAAAAGCTGCAATACCTTCAAGAGCTAAACGAGCTGCAAAAAGCTCAACGGCCTCAAGATCTCTAAGGCCCAGATGCACCTCGATATTCTCAACAGCTTCAGTGTACACAACAGCTTCAAAACTTTCTAGGGCAACATGAGTTTCAGAAAGTTCAAAAGCTCAGCACCCTACTTCTTTCTGTGCCTCCTCTTTCCTCTCTCACCACTCCCTCGCATTTTAGGGTTTAGGATCTTTACGGCTTTCGGAGTATTGACACATCAAAAGCCTTCAGAGCATACACTTACCCGCGATAAGAACAAAGAGCTCTGAGCGGAACTTGATACGCAATGGGGGTTTACAGTATAGTTGAATTCCGCAGTTCTAATTTAATAAGCGTGTACCTGAAACCATAAAACATTTTTTTGGACAGTAAAAGTTTATTTAAAAATAGAGGCTGATTAGCAAAAAAATAATGAACATGTGCGGTTTTAAAGGTTTATTCAAAACGATATGATTGTGGCGGGCTCTGTGACGTAATAAGCCCGACCAATCAGCTCCTAGAACCATTCAGATGACATAACGACTTGGCAATATTGCAGGAGAATGGCATTTATAACTTGCGTCATCTGTCACAGGCACTTGTCGTGCTAGATGCAGTTAAACATCCCTCTCAAAACGTCAAATGTGACAAACGTCAGACCCTCGCGTAAGGTTGCCAGCTCACTTCTACGTGATTGGTTGTAGGTTTGTGACGTATTTAGTCTGAAGCGTTTCAAATTCGGACTAAAAACACAGCTTTTCAATAATTTATTTTGGGTTTATTTTACTCGCAAATAAAAATTGAGGACACACGGGTCTTTTTATTTTTAATGTACTTTGTGGATCAGAAATAAAAAATGAAGGCGGGATGACCCCATTGCCGATAAGCCGAAATCTCTCCCGACCAAACCCTTCCTCCCAATTATTTCGGCGACCAAAATCGATCAATGGAAACAGTCAAGGTCATCAAGGTCGGGAAAGGTATTCGTTTTAATCTTTGAATACGACCCACCCTCTTCGCGCCTTTTTTGGGCACGTTCCTCGCTTTGGCAATCATTACCACTTTCCTCTAGTTAAAAATGCGTTATCACCGCATGGAATGGGAATGGGAATGGGTCTTTTCTTATTGCGTGGTCCGTTATCGTCACCGATTAATCCGGGAATCAATAAAAGGCGCTCACTGGTCAATTTCTTCGTAGATCGTTTGCTGAGTTTTGAATATGAGGGGTTACTCAATTTTAGTAGTTTTCTGTGGGCTCTATGTGTTAACGCAAAACAGTAAGTAGATTTTGCCATCGCCGCCATTTTGGGTGGGATTTTCATGAACGTTCTTTCTTTTTCAGATGCGTTTGGAATACCGGTAAGCACAATTTTTTTTAAGAAAGCTTGGAATTCAGCTTCCTTCTTCCACTAATTTAACTAATTTGAAATAAAAAACAAAGAAAAACCATAATTACTTTTATAATCATATTTCGGGGAAAGATTACGTCACATTCGCTTTCGCTTTTTATTTCCGATGACTAATCTTTCATTGCGCCTCGATGTCTATCTGGATTTCTGGAATATTCGCTACAACATTTTATTTATATAATTAATTTAAATTTTGATGTGTAATAAAGCTAAAAGCAGGTCAATTATTCCCTGATTTTTGAAAATTTATGGGAATTACAAGGGTGTTATCAAAACTTTTGTTGATAGATAAAGGAGCCACTCGCCGGCGACACTAACTTCCAAAAACAACCACGTAGGGCACTACGTGAAGTGGACACAAACGTAAGTATCACGCAAACGCGTCGACGGCCTACATAGGCCTTCATTTCAGAAAATCGAACAAGCGGCAGAAGAGGCGCAGAGCGGGATTCGCAACCTAATGGTGGGTAAAACAGGTTCCTAGAGATCGGGTGGCTTTGCAGGATAGGGCCAGGGAAAATGTGCAATACTATTGGACGCTGCTCTCGAACGAAATGGCCGACATCGGTCAGAAAATCGCAGAAACCGCCAAAAAGGTTCCAGAGTTCTTTTCGAAGGTGAAAAGGGAAACCTATCCAGGAGGCATGTTATGTGACGTAAACTATTCATGTTACGGTATGGATTAATAAACGTTACCTATTATTATTATGGTCGGTGTTTCTTGTGAGAACTCAGGTCTAGCCTGGTTAACTAATCGCACGGATTAAAATCAAGTAACGCTTAGTGTCTGTGTCTGTGTCTGGTGAAGTTATGTAGGGTCCTAAAAAATAAAAAAATAATAAAAAATAAAATAAAATAATAATTCACACACGTACATTGGAAATCTAGGGATAGTATGTAATTCGTACTTACCAACATAGCTATTGATGGGCACAATAGCCAACGCTATCAGGAAAGAGGAAAACAAAACAAAATCATTATAATAATTCCTGTAATTTTATTAAATGGATTTTATTGTGTAAGTGTTTCTTTGGCTTTGCGTTTCTATGGTCAGTCTTTCTTGTTAGAACTCATGTCGAGCCCGGTTAATTAATCGCACGGGTTAAATTCAAGTAAGGATTATTGTTTGAATGTAGTTCGTCTGGTCTAGTCAATACAACGCTTGGTTTCCCAACTAGCCCGGCGAAATCATACGATAACGCGCAAAATTAAAACTTCTGGAATTGTTTGCTCGGCTCTTAAATACCGAGAACACGACTAACGCATCTTCACAAATTAGCGCGCTTCCAGTGACACTATACCCAACCAAATCAGACATATCTAATTAGCTACCAGTAATTATGTTTACTTAATTCGCCGAGGTAAAATTTCTAAATTAGGAAATCCAGTAATGCGTATTGTTACTTGTTACTTTTCATATGTGATCAAGTACTATTACGAACTTTATTAGTTAACAGAATTCAACAAACAATTACTACTGTAGTTTATCAAGCTTGTGCTATAGCTAAACGCGTTTAACGATAAGGCTACATGAAATGTATTGCATAACCCCATTTTCATGCACCATCCGATCCCAGGTGCAAAGGCATCTCGATGTGCAAGTTCGTGTGAGGAAAAGATAGGCACGCCTCCCCCTAGAAGTCAAAGTTGATAGTGTAGCTTCGGCGATGTTAGTTACAGACCTTTAATGTCCAAAACGCCTTGATGCAATTGCAGTTTGGCAACGCCCCGAAGAACATGTCAGCTGGAACCCTGAATTCAAAGTTACACTTCTTAACTGTATGGGGCGCAACAGCGCTATCCTTGACGGTGAGTTCATCGCTACTGCCCTGCACGTTTTCGTGTACTCTCCCGTCGGCATGAAAAGAAAAGCCCTACGTTCACAATTAAGACATCACCTTTCAGTCTCACCTGCACCATTCGGAAACGTAGCTCATTCACGGTGGCGCCCGAGTCGTTTTTGACCGTTGCCGTACAAGGGATGGCCTGATCAGGCGCGTAGCAGGCTTTGGGAAGACAGAGCGTGAGCTCAATTGGTCCTTCAGAGCCGAGCGAGATTGGTGTCTTCTCGCTAACGCACTCGACGGGGGCCTGAAACGCGCGGTGAGTTTTCTAGAGCAACTCCTGGAGCACTTACGGCACTCATCGAGCTTAGACTGTTGCAGGTGAACACGGTGAAGGCCTTCTCGCAGTTGTAATCCCAGGTCCACTCCCTGTCGACGTCCACGCGCACCTTGTACTTGACGCTCCCCTGCGTGGCGTCCATTGTCGACGGCAGACTGTCCGGTAGTTCAAACGCGAAGGAATAGGCGTAACGGCCGGGCTCGATTTTCATTTCGCCTGAAATTCGTTTATTCCTTGACAAATTGAACACCCCCTAAGTACCTGTTAATAAACTGGACTCCACGTCGAAGTAGGGCTCGCGCCTGTACACGCACGTTTTCCCCTCCTTCCAGAACACCTTGGCGCGTCCAATAAACGTTAACTTTATGTCTGAGAAAAATTTAATTAACCGCATGCATTTTAGATAATTATTAACCCACCCCTAACCGTACACTCGGAGGTGAATGTAACGTACACGTTTCCATTTAAAACCTCTCCGGGATGATAAATTTCTTTGTCGAATTCGATTTCGCAGTGACCCGCCATTACGTTGTGACGAAAAATCAATGCGTCGTCGTCTGCGTCACTAGTTCATTTGAACTACTCTTTTTACGTAAGGTCGTTGAATTTATTCAATGGTAAAGGACTGTCTCCAAGGGTCTAGCAGTGACTCTTACACCTTTTAAAGGTTTTTTTTTCAATACTCGAGACCTTTAATGAGAACCTTAAATAATTTTCTGGGAGTTGATCGTTCGAGGTTCTCGAAACTTTTCTCTGGAGGGTTTCAGGTCCTCGACTTTTTTGAGATTCGTGAGAAACCTGAAGGCTTTGAGCATCTTGCGGTCCTTGAGCCAGTTAACGTTCTAGAGATGGTCGAAATTTTTGAGGTCTAGGAGGTTCTTGGGATTTATGGAGTTCCAAAACGTACTCGCGCTATTGTATAGATCTGCACTTGAAGCTCGACCTTCAACCATTGAAATTTATGAAGCTCTTCAAACGCATGTTGTCCTACAAAGTTATGAAGCTGTTGTGGACACTGAAGTTATTGAGAATATATTGGGCCCTAGAGATCTTGAGACGCTTGAGCCTTTTGAAGTTATTACAGCTTTTCTAAGTTTTTCTCGAAGCTCATGAGGCCCTTGAAGCTCTTGAATGAACCTTTTGACGTTATTCAAACTAGATGCTCTTAGTTTTGAGAAATGTGCTTTCGAAACTTTAAAGGTTCATGAATCTGTTGAAGTTCCTGAACCTTTGAAGCTCTTGGGTATTTCTGAAAAATTGTTTAGATCTTAAGGCTCTTGAGACTTTTGAAGTTTTTGAAACGTATTTGCGCTACTGTGGACGTAGATCTCTTGTACTTGAAGCTCGTGAAGCTTATGTGAAACACCCTGCGCCTTTAACCCCCCTGAAGCTCGTGTTGACCTGGAAAGTTTTTAAACTGTAAGGACAATGAAGTGTTTTGGGATCTTAAAGGACTTGGGCATTTTGAATATCTTTAAGTCTTGAAGGTATGACAGGTTTTAAGCTTTTCAGACTTTTAATTTCTGGTAGCTCCTGGATCTTTTGGTATTAATTGATTTTGCAGGTTTTGAAGCCCCTGAATGTGTTGAAGCTCTTGGTTTTTCACCTCTCACCCCCCCTCCGGGGGGTGGTAGGGCGACCCGCGACTTCTCGTCTCGTAGATCTCGTCGAGATCTACAATCGCGCAATTGTACGTTTTGCTCTAACTCTAACGGTTCGGCCTGTGGAAGGCGTTAAAGTTGGAAAATGCGAAAAACCACCTTTTCGCGCCATTTCCAAATTCGAATTTTCCCCGGAATGCTACCCCCGCACGATTACGCTCCTCCCCGTCCCCCGCGATCTCCCGAAAACCGCATGGGGAAATTCGGTAACGTTTTCGTTACGAATTTTTTTCTAAAATTTTCGATTTTTTCGCTTCTTATGGCAGCTACCCCGTAGGTTGCCCCGAGAATTTTCTTAACCTCGCCGAAAGTTGCGCCAACTATCACTACCTACCTTAGCCGGCGGCTCGATTCCCTAACTCGAACCGTATGGAAACGGCGAATTTTTATCGGCGTCCGTTTACTCGATTTATATTTTTAATTTCTTTAAAAACGAACCGATTTTGATGAAAATTTTATCGGACCTTTTTGAGACGATTTCGGATCGATTCTGAGAGTTTGGGACCTGGGAAATTCTCCTGAGCGGCTGGGGAACATCGTCGTCGAGGTGCGCGGAGGGGGGTGAGAGGTGAAAAACCGGAGATTTTGAATAGCGCGTTCCGGCGAAGAGATTCGAGGTCGGAATCGGCATCGGTATCGAACCTGCGGGCAAGTTTTCTCTTTCTTTTTCCGTTTAACGCGAGGAGGTAACTCGGACGACGGCGCCGTGGTAAATTTTCTCCCGAAAAAACCTGTCATACCTTCAAGACTTAAAGATATTCAAAAGGCCCAAGTCCTTTAAGATCCAAACACACTTCATTGTCCTTACAGTTTAAAAACTTTCCAGGTCAACACGAGCTTCAGGGGGGCTAAAGACGCAAGGTGTTTCACATGAGCTTCGCGAGCTTCAAGTGCAAGAGATCTACGTCCACAGTAGAGCAAATACGTTCCAAAAACTTCAAAAGTCCCAAGAACCTAAAAATCTGGAAACATTTTCAGAAATACCCAAGAGCTTCAAAGGTTCAGGAACTTCAACAGCTTCATGAACCTTTAGAGTTTCGAAAGCACAATTTTCAAAACTAAGAGCATCTAGTTTCAATAACGTCAAAAGGTTCATTCAAGAGCTCCAACACATTCAGGGGCTTCAAAACCTACAAAAAACTGCAAAATCAATTAATAACGTTTTTCCCTTTTTACCAAAAATCGACTACACCAAAATTTCTCGGGAAAACACATTTTCTTATTAATTTTGGGGAGTAGAAGCCAAAACAATTCGTACTTTTTCGATTAGGCTTCTCAATCAAGGCTTATCTAACCCTTAACAATCAATGCAGCTTGACTGCAGGGCCGGACTGGCCCAGGCCGCTAGGCCGCCCGAGCGGCCGGGGCCCTCATGGAACCGCGAAGGATAAATTAATTGATAATTTTGCCAATACGTCATTGGAACACAGCGCCTTCTCCTTTAGTGTAATGTTCAATACTGTTCAGCAAGTTGTTTGAAATACACTTAAAAAAATCTGCAAAACCCTTCCTTTTTCGGGGGGGGGGGGGCGCATGAGTTTGGGAGCCTTGTGGTCATGGAGCGCCCGGGGCCCTTACCCACCCAGTCCGGTCCTGAGCTTGAGGACCTCTTGATCGTTTTCAAGCTCATAAAACTCTTGAAGATTTTAAGCTTTCGAGCTCTTGAATCTCCTTATGCTCTTGAAGCTCTTCAAAGTATAAGCCTTTTTGAAACATTTGAAAATCGCGTCTCTTAGGGGTGTCGATGTCAATGTCGTTCCTGCGCTCTTGATGTAATGGAAGATACCTCCTCGCGAATTCTATACCCTTGATACCAGCTCTTTATCAATCAACCAAATAGAACAGGTCTGTACTGTGCTCCTGATACAATCTATTATTCCTCACGACTTAAATACAACGCTTTGGGCAATGTTTCAACTCTGGGTAAAGAGCAGGCGCTTAGAACATGGAATATAAATACGCATTTGGCCATACGCTCCTGACTTTTTGAAGACGAATACATCCTGAATGAACCTGGTATATCTTATAATGCTAAGCACTCTCCTGTGCTCCTGTCAGATACTTCCTGAGGGTTTCTATCAAAAGGAAGCAGGAAGACAATAAAATCATGACGTAAGCATACTTTTATTGCCGAGGTTACACTTTGTTTCGAGTTTGTACAATCACCGACGTACGTCGCTTCTTAATCAGATAACAATCAACGTATTTACCTTTTCAGGACCGTTGTCAATAACAGCAAACTGTAACAGATCAATTTTAGCCAATCAACTACGAGTCATGGATTACTCACGTAGTCGACCGTCTTTCCAATCAACCGAAGGAGATGATGTTTCTAAGAAAACTTTGGTTGGTTTGGTTTAGCTAAGTGCAGTCGCTTACCTGCTGCTCGAGGTCCAAGCCTTTCAGATCTTCGTAGAGCTTTTGTTCGCCTTCCCTGTCCAAGGAGGTGATGAATTTGAGAACTGTCATCTGGGTGGCTTTGTCGCAGGGGAACAACTTATCCAGATCGACCGTCAACTCGTCCTGAAAACAATTTAGCGGTTGAGGAAGCGGAAGAAGGCTTCGCGTTCACCTTCTGGTCGTCTTCAGTTTCGCCTGCCGGCACGAGTGGCATAGGGAACGTTTGGCCGATTCCCCACGTGGACGGTACCATTGCGAAGATTGTCGATTGCGGCCTCCAACCCAAAGGGACCATGCCTCCGAGGGCCGGAGGAAGTTTTGCGTGAGAATTCAAGTAGAGGATGGCACCCGGAGATACTGGATCGGCTATTTTTTCAAGTGTAAGCGAAGTGTTCAAATAATAGGGGATTCTTACCGGGGAAAGCTGGACGAGTGAGCGCTCCAGGGAAGCCACCTGTAAGCAAAATGGGATTAAACGACCTAGTTGGAGAGGATTTACCTTGGAAAGCTGGACGCGTAAGCCCAATGTGATCGTTATAGGTAGGTGAGGTAGAGGTCGGTTTATCAGAGCCCTCCTTGACTTCAGCTGCGGATGAAATGCGTTTGGATCGTCGAATCGACTGGAGGAACTTACCGTGGTTCTCCTTAGGTGATTCGATGGGAGGAGCAAATCGTGGAGCGACAACGGCCTTATTGAAGGTTCCAAATGAATGAAAACCATGAGGAGCAAATCCTGGATCGATTAGTCCTCCAGCGAAGCCACCTGTAAGACAAATGGGGTTAGATGACCAACTTGACTCGAAACCTTTACCGTGGGAAGCTGGGCCGGAAAATCCTGGATCGAGTAATCCTCCGGCGAAACCACCTGTGAGTAGAATTGGATTAAACGATCAAGTTAGGGAAGCTTTACCTTGGAAGGCTGGACGCGTAAGCCCTGCCGGTCCATTGTGTTCGTTATGGGTGGCTGGGGTTGAAGTCGGTTTATCAGAGGATGAGCTCTCCTCCTTGCCTTCAGCTGCGGGTGAAATGCGTTTGGATCGTTGATTCGGCTGGAGAAACTTACCGTGTTTTTCTTTAGGCGACTCTCTGGGAGCGACAATCGCTTTATTGAGTGTGCCTCCAAAGGAGTGGAAACCAGGAGGTGCAAAACCTGGATCGATTAATCCTCCAGCGAATCCGCCTGTAAACGAAATGAGATTAAATGAGCAACTTAAGTTGAAACTTTTACCGTGGAAATGAGCAGGACCGGAAAATCCTGGATCGATTAATCCTCCGGCGAAGCCACCTGTAAAGGAAATCGGGTTAAATGACCCACTCAATTCGAATAAGCTTTACCGTGGGAAGCTGGGCCAGAAAATCCTGGGTCGATTAGTCCCCCGGCGAAGCCACCTGTAAACGAAAAAGGATTATATGGCCAACTCAATTCGAGAGCTTTACCGTGGGAAAATCCTGGGTCGACTAATCCTCCTGCGAATCCACCTGCAAAGGAAACATGAGGAGAGGAATTTCACACCAAGAGAAAACGTACCATGATCGCTATGAGGAGCAGGTTTCGTTTTATCAGATTTAGAACTGGTTTCGGGCCCTTCAACTGTAAGTGAAATTTGCAGGGTTTAATAATTCCACTGGAAGAACTTACCGTGTTCGCCTTTGTGCGACTTTGGCTCTACTACTCCTCCATTGGCACCAGCTGTAAGCAAAAAGAGGGATTAGATAACCCACTTTCGTCGAAACCTTTACCGTGAGAAGCTGGCCCGGAAAATCCTGGATCGATTAATCCTCCAGCGAAGCCACCTGTAAATGAAATGGGATTAAATGGCCAACTCAATTCGAAGGCTTTACCGTGGGCAGCTGGGCCGGAAAATCCTGGATCGATTAATCCTCCGGCGAAACCACCTGTAAATGAAATGAGATTAAATGGCCCACTTGATCCGAATTTACCGTGGGCAGCTGGGCCGGAAAATCCTGGATCGATTAATCCCCCAGCGAATCCACCTGCAAAGGAAACGTAGAGAGGGAAATTTCACTCCAAGAGAAAACGTACCATGATCGCTATGAGGAGCAGGTTTTGTTTTATCAGATTTAGAACTGGTTTCGGGCTCTTCAACTATAAGTGCAATTTGCACGGTTTAATGATTCCACTGGAAGAACTTACCGTGTTCGCTTTTATGCGACTTTGGCTCCACTGCCCCTCCATTGACACCAACTGTAAGCAAAAGGAAATTAGAAGACGAATTTTGGTGGAAACCTTCACCTGGGAACGCTGGACGAGTAAACCCTGGATCGATTAATTTTCCTGCAAAAGAAACGGTACTAGAGGAATTTGAAGGTTCACAAAGCATACCATGGTCGTTGTGCTGCGCAGGTTTCGTTTTATGAGATTCCGGACTGGTTTCTGTCACCTCAACTGTAAGTGAAACCTGAAGGGTTTTGTGATTCAACTAGAGGAACTTACCGTGCTCGTCCTTATGTGTCTTTGGCTCTACTAGTGCATTAACGCCATCTGTAAGCAAAAGGTGTTACATGACCCAACATAACCGAAACCTGTACCTCGGAAGGCTGGACGAGCAAAACCTGGATCGATTAATCCACCAGCGAAGCCACCTTTAAGCAAAAAGGGGGTTAGTGGGTGACCACTTTGTTTCAAAACCTTTACCTTGGAAAGCTGGACGAGAAAAACCTGGATCGATTAATCCTCCGGCGAATCCACCTGTATTGGACACAGAACTATATAACCAACTTGTTTGGTAACGTTTACCTTGGAAAGCCGGACGTGAGAATCCTGGATCGATTAACCCTCCAGCGAAACCACCTGTAAGCAACACGAGATTAGGTGACCAATTTTGTTGAAAAACCTCTACCTTCAAAAGCTGGTCGAGAAAATCCTGGATCAATTAATCCTCCAGCGAAACCGCCTGTAAGAGAAAATGTATGGAGAGGAAGCTATCCAGGAGATAATTACCGTGAGGGGCACACTCTTGATCGGCACCTGCAAGTGACACAAATTTACTAATAAACCTGAAGGTTGGAGGAACATACCGTGGTCGTTGTGAATGGAAGGTTTGTCGGCGGGTTTTTTCTCCTCAACTGTAGGTAAAATTGGCTTGGTCTAGTAATCAGACTGGTAAAGCTTACCTTGTTTTTCTTTAGTTGATCCTGGGTGCACCCCGTGTTCCTTAGAGGGTGAACTATGTTCTTCGAGTTCGGCTGTAAGTTAAACGTGTTTGGATCACAGTTTCCACTGGAAGAACTTACCATGTATCACATTAGATACTGGTGCTTCCTTAGTGGCACCTGTAAGGGAAGTTAAGAAAAAATTAAACAGTGGAAGCTCTTACCAAGAGAAAACCATGGGCTGACTACCGCTTTGTTAAAGGCGCCTGCAAGAGAAAGGTAACGAAGTGGTCAATTTGGAAGCTCTTACCGCCAGGGGCAAATCCTGGATCGACCATCGGTCCAACTGAAAACCAAAAGAGGTGAGATCAGCAACGCGAAGATACAAAAATCTCACCTGGGAAAGCCGGACGAGTTAATCCCCATGTCCCATTTAAGCTACCTACGAGGAAAGCGTGAGATGGGAAATCTGAATGTGCGAGAAGCATACCGTAAAAACCATGGGGTGCAAAACCTGGATCGATTAATCCTCCAGCAAAGCCACCTATAAATCAAACCAGATTAGATGGTAACCTCAATTGGATACCCTTACCGTGGAAAGCTGGACGAGTAAGTCCTCCTGGCAATCCACCTGAAAGCGCATCGTGATTAGGTGACCAACTTCCAGTTTCCAAGTTCTTACCAGGATGAGAAAATCCTGGATCGATTAATTCTCCGGGAAAGCCACCTGAAAGCACATCGTAATTTGATGCCCAACTTGAAGTCTCAAAACTCCTACCTGGGAAAGCAGGGCGAGAAAATCCGGGATCGATTAATCCTCCAGCGAAACCACCTGGAAAGAAAGCGCGATGGAAGGAATTTGAGAGCAGGAGAAAATTACCGTGGGAAAATCCTGGATCGACTATGTCTCCATGCGACGCAGGAGTGCCGTCTGTCTCTTTAGGGGGATGTGACTCGGCGTTATCTGTAAGAGAAATGCGACCAGGTTTAGGAGGTGAGTTCTGGAAAACGTTACCGGGAGGGGCGAATCCAGGATCGACTGAAACAAAAATTGGATTAATTGGACATTTTGGAAAAATTTACCTTGGAAAGCTGGACGAGTCAAGCTGTGAACACCGTGGTGATGGTAAAAAATCTCGTCGACCATTGGTCCATTCGCGCCATCTGCAAACGAGGAATGGTTTTGCTATTAATTACCATACCAGGATGAGGAGTATGTTTATCTGTGGCTGCTGGTAACTTCAGCTGATGCGATTGGAGGAACTTACCGTGTCTGTTTTTAGGTGTTGGATAATCGCATTCTTTGTGTGCGGCATCCGTTCCTGCAATCGGAATGTAATCGAGTGTCTAATTCGGCGACTGAAAACTCACCAGGAGTGCCTACGCTTGGTTGCAACTTAAGAGGAGAGGCAAGGTCCAAGCTGCGGAATTGAGGTTCACCAACGGCAGATTCGAAGGATCTTGGAAGAATTTGGGCTATTCCACACGGAACCGCAATTTAGTTGCATGGTCGATTCAAAATTTGGAACTTACCACTAAATGGAGTTGCGACGGGAACGGGGCCTAAAGGTTTGGGAGACACTAAAATCGAAAGTCAGACGCAAAGTTGATTTACAGTCGAGAACTTACCACCAAATGATCCAACTGGCATGGGGCCTAAAGGTTGTGGAGACCCTAAAATCGACAGTCAGTCGCAAAGTTGATTTACAGTCGGGAACTTACCACCAAATACTCCAACGGGCATGGGGCCTAAAAGTTGTGGAGACCCTAAAATCGACAGTCAGACGCAAAGTTGGTTTACAGTAGGGAACTTACCACCAAATGGTCCAGCGGGCATGGGGCCTAAAAGTTGTGGAGACCCTAAAATCCACAGTCAGTTGCAAAGTTGATTTACAATCGGGAACATACCACCAAATGGTCCAGCGGGCATGGGGCCTAAAAGTTTTGGAGACCCTAAAATCGACAGTCAGACGCCAAGTCAATTTACAGTCGGGAACTTACCACCAAATGCTCCAACGGGCATGGGGCCTAAAAGTTGTGGAGACCCTAAAACCGACAGTCGGTTGCAAAGTTGATTTACAGTAGGAAACTTACCACCAAATGGTCCAGCGGGCATGGGGCCTAAAGGTTTTGGAGACCCTAAAATCGACAGTCAGTTGCAAAGTTGGTTTACAGTAGGGAACTTACCACCAAATGGTCCAGCGGGCATGGGGCCTAAAGGTTTTGGAGACCCTAAAATCGACAGTCAGTTGCAAAGTTGGTTTACAGTAGGGAACTTACCACCAAATGGTCCAACGGGCATGGGGCCTAAACGTTGTGGAGACCCTAAAATCCACAGTCAGTTGCAAAGTTGATTTACAATCGGGAACTTACCACCAAATGGTCCAGCGGGCATGGGGCCTAAAAGTTTTGGAGACCCTAAAATCGACAGTCAGACGCCAAGTCAATTTACAGTCGGGAACTTACCACCAAATGCTCCAACGGGCATGGGGCCTAAAAGTTGTGGATACCCTAAAACCGACAGTCGGTTGCAAAGTTGATTTACAGTAGGGAACTTACCACCAAATGGTCCAGCGGGCATGGGGCCTAAAGGTTTTGGAGACCCTAAAATCGACAGTCAGTTGCAAAGTTGGTTTACAGTAGGGAACTTACCACCAAATGGTCCAACGGGCATGGGGCCTAAAAGTTGTGGAGACCCTAAAATCCACAGTCAGTTGCAAAGTTGGTTTACAGTCGGGAACTTACCACCAAATGGTCCAGCGGGCATGGGGCCTAAAGGTTTTGGAGACCCTAAAATCGACAGTCAGTTGCAAAGTTGATTTACAGTCGGGAACTTACCACCAAATACTCCAACGGGCATGGGGCCTAAAAGTTGTGGAGACCCTAAAACCGACAGTGAGTTGCAAAGTTGGTTTACAGTAGGGAACTTACCACCAAATGGTCCAGCGGGCATGGGGCCTAAAGGTTTTGGAGACCCTAAAATCGACAGTCAGTTGCAAAGTTGGTTTACAGTAGGGAACTTACCACCAAATGGTCCAGCGGGCATGGGGCCTAAAGGTTTTGGAGACCCTAAAATCGACAGTCAGTTGCAAAGTTGGTTTACAGTAGGGAACTTACCACCAAATGGTCCAACGGGCATGGGACCTAAAAGTTGTGGAGACCCTAAAATCCACAGTCAGTTGCAAAGTTGATTTACAATCGGGAACTTACCACCAAATGGTCCAGCGGGCATGGGGCCTAAAAGTTTTGGAGACCCTAAAATCGACAGTCAGACGCCAAGTCAATTTACAGTCGGGAACTTACCACCAAATGCTCCAACGGGCATGGGGCCTAAAAGTTGTGGATACCCTAAAACCGACAGTCGGTTGCAAAGTTGATTTACAGTAGGGAACTTACCACCAAATGGTCCAGCGGGCATGGGGCCTAAAGGTTTTGGAGAACCTAAAATCGAAAGTCAGTCGCAAATTTGATTTAAAGTCGGGAACTTACCACCAAATGCTCCAACGGGCATGGGACCTAAAAGTTGTGGAGACCCTAAAATCGACAGTCAGTTGCAAAGTTGATTTACAGTTGCGAACTTACCACCAAATGCTCCAACAGGAAGGGGGCCTAAAGGTTTTGGAGACGCTACAATCGAAAGTCAGTCGCAAAGTTGACTGCCAGTCGGGAACTTACCATTAAATACTGTAACAGGAAGAGGACCTAAAGGTTTTGGAGATCCTAAAATCGAAAGTCAGACGAAAAGTTGATTTACAGTCGGGAACTTACCACCAAATGCTCCAACTGGCATGGGGCCTAAAGGTTTTGGAAACCCTACAACGGAACTTTAGTCACAAAGATGATTCACAGTCGGGAACCTACCACTAAATACGTTAAGTGCGGGTCGAGCAACAGCAGGTCCGAAATTTCTTGGAATCATTTGGGCTATTCCACACGGAAGCGAAATTTAGTTGCACGGTCGATTCAAAATTTGGAACTTACCACTAAATGCAGCCGCTGGGGCTCCAAGAGGAACGGGACCTAGAGGTTTTGCAAAGCCTACAGTCGAACGTTAGTCGCAAAGTTGATTTACAGTCGAGAACTCACCACCAACTGCTCCAATAGGAACTGGGCCTAAAGGTTTTGGAAGTCCAACAAGAAATGTTCCAGCCATGGGAGGGCCGAAAGTTTTTGGAAAACTTTTGGCCAGTCCATCTGTGAGTGAAGTGTAATAGTAATGCTCGATTCTAAATGGAGAACTCACCGCGAAGGATTTCAGCAAATCCATGGTTCAGTTGAGCTCCGGAGGAGAGCGCGACGGGAAAGCCCGGATAGGCGTTCAATCCGGTCACGACATCTGCAAGAAGATCACGTGACTTTCTCCACAAAGCGGCGGTCTTAGTTACCATGAAGCAAAAAAGCTGGAAGGGCGCACAGTAAACTGGCAATAATGAACGCCATGTTGGCGAGCAACAATTATTGTTCCGCTGAAAACGCGGAAGCGTCATTTTTATACTCGCCACCATGACGCCGATAGCATGCCGATTATCGTTATGTAAGTGTGTGAAATTAATTAAATTAATTGATTATTGCAGCCGCCGAAACCAAAATCCTGATTTCGGAATCCGTACTTCCTGAAAACTTGAGCTGATTAAGATCGTTATCGGGAATTGTGTAATTTTTCCAGCTCTTTTCGCCCAAATTGGCCAACTCATGCTTGGTCATTTTTTGATTCGTAGAACTAAAATCGGTTAATGGCGAAGGCTCTCCACGATTTGGATACTCTCCAAGCGACAATTACTTCCATAACTAAGACAGAAGCCTGTCTCCATGCAGTGGAAAACGTGCGCAAACTCCACTTCATCCGCGTTTTTTTTTCCCCCCGATGATCAAGGGCGTATCCTTGCGATCCAATGTTTCTGCACTAAGTATCCAGGAGAAAATTTATCTGAAAGGGATTTCTACATACGTACTCAGATGACCAAAACCCAAAATTTATGGGAATAAAAAATTTAATGTCCAAAACGCTGCAATATTCAAAGGTTCAGTTTAACTCAAAATTTGGACCCCCAGTTTTCCATGTCATACTCTTGTTGAAGTTGAAGGTGGCTTTCCAAGTCTTTTCCAGAGTCTTCTAAACCCATTTTTGAGCCTTTTGAGATCGTTAACCATGAAAGGGAACCAGAAACCGATGGCACTAACAAAAGCTCTATAAAAGGCTTACAGAATCCTTGAAAAGGACTTAAAAATAATCAGTGAACCTTCTAAATGCGCTTTTCATGACATTTTAAAGCTTTCCAGTGAAATTGATGGCCTCTCATAGCTTTCCAAGTCCTTTTAGGAGTGTTCTAGCAAACTGCGCCCTGTAAAGGGGTCCGGTGACGGAGCAGGCTCCTTGAAAGAAGGGACGACCCTAACTCAAAGACCTCGTGGTGGATCAGCTTCTATTCGCAGGAAGAATAGGACTGGCGCACAGAAGGCGATGACCAGGAAGCGCCGGCCCGAGGGCAAAACCTCGGGTCAAGCGGACCCTGCGCCAAATCCCAATGCTGTGTATGGGTCATTGTCTCAGGAAAGCAAGCCGGCGTCAGGGACCAAGCGTCTCAGATCGGAGGGAAGCACTCCAGCCTGAGAAGGAACCTAGGGGTTCTGGAGCGACCAAAGCTGCGGGTGCACCACGAACCTATGGGCAAGCCGCTGCCGCGGGACTCACGGTGGCCATCGTTCCGATATCGCATCCGGACTTGGACATCACTAAGCCTCAGTCGAGGTGCAGTTGTTGACGATATGGAGGGGGGGCTCTTCCTCGGCTGGCAGGGTTCCGATGGAATCGGCAAAGCGCCATTGTGGAAGGACCAGTGGACTTTTGACTGGTTGGAGACGCCCTAAGATGGCGCGTTTCTGAAAGTTCAGAGGGACGTCCCAGAGTAATCAAGGTCATGACTGTGTTATACGAGCTTCCAGATGACACGGCCACCATCTTGAAGAGCCTTCTGGTTTCAACCTATGGAGGATATTATTCCGAAGGGAGGGGCCTCCTCGCATTTGGTGTATGAGGCATTCTATATCGGGCACACGCCGGGGTCTCGCGTGCTACGGGAGAGGGCTCCACCGGAGCAGCGGGACCCACTGTCGTTGCGACGGAGGATTGGTTATCGACCTCGAAGGGACGCCCGAATTACTACCTGCGCCCTCAAAGACCGAGGAAGGTGTCAACGAGCTTTTGGCTCGTTCGGAGGTTCTTGGATCCGACCCCCGGTCGGCTAGAGCCGTCTGCATCTCTAGGGAAGGGCGGGGGGATCTAATACATCAGTGATGGACGAGGTAACGTTCTTACAGAGCAGTAACGAGGCGGCCTATTTAATAGGCCATCAGCCAGACTTATACCTCATACAAGAACCTTGGGTTTACAGGGGAGGCGTAAAAAGTTTGGGCCTGGTGGAGGACTACCTTTATTATAAGACGGACAGACAAGACAATCGAGTCTTATCATCTAATGGCTGTTTTCTGTCTCAGGGATCTCGTAGCTCTAGAACTTCGACTGAAAGCTGGCAGAAGATGGACCAATCCACTTGGTGGTCTGCTTAGCCTATCTCCCCTACGACTTGGAAGAGGCCCCACCTACCAGCGAGCTGGTTAAGTTGATAGAGTACCGTCAAAATGGTGGGCGCCCTCTTGTGGTTGGTTGTGATGCAAACGCACACAATGACTGCGGGAACAAGCTAGGGCCTGGCAAGAGCGATGCAGGGAGCACCGAGAGAGCGTCGGAAAATATGCTGTAAAGCTCGTGGTCCATGCCGGTGTCCCACACAAGGGACTCTTGCGTGTGGATTTGGGTTGGGGTTCTTCTCGGGGGTCGTTAGTCTGCTGCGTGGAGAGGATGTAGTCCGGCGGTCACGGTGTAGAGGTAGAGGGTGTATTCAGCGAAGAAATGTTCCTCTGGGATATTGAAAAGAAGGCACAGGAAATAGGAGCTGCTGAGCCCGTGTGGTGGTCTGGGTGGTGGAGACTTTTGCTTTGGGCAGTCCTCCCTGGAGTGTTCTGTGGCCTTGCAGAACCAACAGCGTTTCTTCTTTAGCTCGTGCGAGGCTTCAAGGACCTTCGTGGTCACCGGGAGGTTGCCGTCTTTGATCTTTCGAAGCTCGCGACGGAGTTCCTCAAAAGTGTTGAATCATCGGTGTGTATATATATATATATATATATATATATATATATATATATGTATAAAGTTCAAAGGGCTGTAACTTTTGATCTAGTAGTCCAATCTTGGAACTGTTTGAAATTATGTATTCTACGGGCCAAATTCTATAAGAAAATGTTTTTTTCCAGTCGATCTCAGACAATTTTTTTTTCCGGCCTCAAAAAAAGGCAGTGTTTTACCTTCCTTTTTTACCAAAAATCGACTGCTCCAAAATTTCTCGGGAAAACACTTTTTCCCACTTATTTTGGTGCGTAGAATCCAAAACGATTCGTACTTTTTCGATCAGACCTCTCAATCAAAAGTTATGGACTAAATACAAATTTCGACAATATTATATACAGTGAGTTTTTTTTTTAATGCGAACATAGGAGTTGCATGCAATGTAATTTCCCTATGTTCGATTTAAAAAAAAACACATCAACCTATTGAGTAGTTCAAATGAGTAGTAGATACAATTGACAGCTGTCACATTTTTAAAAATACCGCCGTCCAATTTAATTACGAAATCGGTTAGGTTATTGCTTAGAATGTCAAGGAGGACACTTCGAACATTTATTGTAATTGTTTTCGTTATTTACTTTCTTATTTTCTTCATTTATGTATTGAATAGATCAAATTAGTACAATACCAGGTGCACACGACCTACAAATAATTGAAGGTTGGTTCATAATGAGTTGTGGTGTCAGTGCGTGGCCTGTGAAAGTTATCGTAGGTTTAAGGAAATGTATCCTAGTTGCTATGACCATGGCTTCTTTAAAAAATCTTACCTAAAGACTATAGAATTGCTGTTCATAGTCACACAAGTTGCACGATTTGGGAATGTGAACCGCGCACATCTCATAGATTGATGTGTTTTTTTAAAAATCGAACATAGGGAAATTACATTGCATGCAAACTCCTATGTTCGCATTTAAAAAAAACTCACTGTATATAAAATCTCGTCCTCTATTCGAGATAGGATATCCCGTTTATTCGGTTTACGGAACCTTTTATAAGCTTATTTCCCAATGAGTGTGAAATAAACGCCTTTAGTTGAGGCTCTGGGGACCGTTTTTAATGGATTAAGTATCATTAACTGTACTTAGAGGTCCTTAAATTTCGTAAATGCTTTAAAAGCTCTTCAGCACTTCTTAAAAACCTTCAAAAGATCTTATAAACCTGTTAAAGTCTCTAACAGCCAATAGAAAGCAGCTGTACCATTAGACATGGTCGGAGGAGAAACATTTTGGGGACTTAATGAGTCTGTTTCTCAAAATCAATTTTTAATGCATTTAATAATTTTAAGTCTCAAAATGGCTCCACATTATCGAATTGTTTGGATGCGGTTTGGATTAGGCCATGCACCAGTTGGTGCAGAACAGAGTTTTATATTAAAAACTGAGGAATAAAGAAGTGGGGGAGAGGGGATAATGTGGAGAAATAAAAAAATCATTAACAAATGCCAAAACATATTATTGTTACAATATATAATTCACCCTTAAAAAGTCACCTACACCCTTAGAAAATGTGGGGTTATTACATATTAGTGATCTTGATTGGCACGCCATTGATCGTGATCGTGATGATTCCCTAGAAAAACGGAAAATTACGAAAATGAACGAAGTGCGATTCGATAACTTACAGGAGTGTGGCTCAACTCGATCAGTTGCCTGAAAATTTGGATCTGAGAGTTGATATCCAACTGACCGATGTTGGAGTAGATCAAATTTTGGGTTTCTTGGTCCAAGCCGTTGAGGAAGACTTGAATTTGAGATTGCATCTCTGGGTCCGCGGGGAAGAGCTTATGAAGGTTGATCTGTGTAAGGAAGCGTGTTAATTTTGAAGCCGTAGGAGTTGAGTTACTTACGATGTTGGCAGTAACGTGGCCGCCACCGCCGCCATTCATCGAAATGTGCCCACTCTACCAAAGGAATTCGCGTTTAAAAAAGTACAGGATTCTATATTAAAGATGAGGAGTGAAGAGGTGGGGGAGGAAAGCTCAGTACACATTACAGACTAACATTTTCAAGCTTCTTCCCCGATTAGATGGTGTGGATCAGACTAGGATCTCAATAAGGGTCATTACAGCTACAAGTAACTTACATTATCGATCTTGATTGGCACGCCGTTGATGGTACAGGGTTCTATATTAAAGATGAGGAGTGAAGAGGTGGGGGAGGAAAGCTCAGTACACATTACAGACTAACATTTTCAAGCTTCTTCCCCGATTAGATGGTGTGGATCAGACTAGGATCTCAATAAGGGTCATTACAGCTACAAGTAACTTACATTATCGATCTTGATTGGCACGCCGTTGATGGTAATCGTGATGATTCCCTAGAAAAGGGGATAGATAATACGAAGATGAGCGACACGCGATCCAGAAACTTACGGGAGTATGGCTCAACTCGATCAATTGCCTGAAAATTTGGATCTGAGTGTTCATATCCAACTGGCCAAGGTTGGAGAAGATCAAGTTTTGGGTTTGTTGGTCCAGGCCGTTGAGGAAGACTTGGATTTCGGATTGCATTTGGGGTTCCGTAGGGAAGAGCTTTTGAAGGTTGATCTGTAGAGGTTCACTTGTTAGTTTCGAGGTCAAAAAAGCTCAGGTACTTACGATGTTGGTGGTACCGTGGTTGCCACCTCCACCAATGATCGAAATTTCTGGCTTCTACCAAAGGAATTAGCGTCTGGGAAACTTGCCGACTTACTCACCTGGCCGCCATTGGGACCGCTCGGCTGCAAAAGGTACACCTGTTAGTATTGAGGCCATAAAGGTGTAGGTACTTACGACGTAGCCACCACCATTGTTTCCACCTCCACCAATGATGGAAATTTCTGGCTTCTACCAAAGGAATTAGCGTCTCGAAAACAAGTCTACTTACTCACCTGACCGCCGTTGGGACCGAATGGCTGCAAAAGGTACGCCTGTTAGTATTAAGGCCATAAAGGTTTAGGTACTTACGATGTATCCGCCACCATTGTTCCCACCTCCACCAATGATCGAAATTTCTGGCTTCTACTAAAGGAATTAGCGTTTTGGGAGACTTGCCGACTTACTCACCTGGCCACCGTTGGGACCGCTCGGCTGCAAAAAAACCTCCTGTTAGTTTTGGGGCCATAAAGGGTTTGGTACTTACGACGTAGCCACCACCATTGTTCCCACCTCCACCAATGATCGAAATTTCTGGCTTCTACCAAAGAAATTAGCGTTTTGGAAACCTGCCGACCTACTCACCTTGCCGCCGTTGGGACCGCTCGGCTGCAAAAGGTACGCCTGTTAGTTCCGACGTCAAAAAAGTTCAGGTACTTACGATGCTGGGGGTACCGGGCCTGCCACCTCCACCAACCACCGAAATTTGTGGCTTCTACCAAAGGAATTAGCGTTTCAAAAAGTATACACTGTGAAAAAGTTAGGATTGTAGAGGTAAGGGGGGAGGGGGCGGAATAAAAAAACTCAGTAACAAATGCCAAGACATATTATTATTACAAACTAACATGATGCTTCCGCGCTTCTTCACCCTTAAAAAGTTACACCCTTAGATGATGTGGATCACGCTAGGATCCTAATAAGGGTTATTACAGTATAACGCCCCTAACTCTACAAGTAACTTACGTTATTGATCGTGATTGGCACGCCGTTGATGGTGATCGTGATGGCTCCCTAGAAAAGACGGACAAATACAAAGATGGACCGGGCGCGGTTCAAAATCTTACGGGAGTTTGGCTCAATTCGATCAATTGCCTGAAGACTTGGATCTGGGTGTTGATATCCAGCTGGCCAAGGTTGGAGAGTATCAAGCTTCTGGTTTGCTGGTCAAGGCCGTTGAGGAAGACCTGAATTTCGGATTGCAATTGAGGTTCCGTGGGGAAGAGCTTTTGAATGTTGATCTGTGGAAGAGTGCGCGTGTTAGCTTTGAAGTCGAAAAAAGTTTGGGTACTTACGATGTTGGTGCTTCCTTGGTTGCCACCTCCGCCATTGATCACAACCTGTCCGCCCTAACAAAGGAATCAGCGTTTCGGGAACAAGCCGGTTTACTCACCTGGCCGCTGTTGGCACCGCTCAGCTGCAGAAGGTACTCAATCTGCGCGTCTGGTTTCAGATTTGCAAGGCTAACGGAGATCTTTTTCTGGACATAAAAATCGGATTACAGTCGGCCGTTTGGCTCGCCGTCGCTTTACCTGCTCGTCTTGCGACAGACCGTCGAGGTAAATTTGGATTTGGGCCTGCGTCTTCGGATTGCCTGGGAATAGTGAGGCTAGATCGAATTGTACCTTGTTCGATGGCGCACTTCCGCCGTTAACCAGCACGGAGATGTCCAGCTACAATTGCATTAATCAGGTGAGGAGGTTTGAAGCGTTTGGCTGGTACTTACACCGGAACCTCTGAGTAAATCTTTGAAGATCGCGAGGATGTTGTCCTGAAATATTGTTAAAGAAGCCTTCGAGAGGTCTTGGAGGTGTCAATACTCACTCGTGTGCTGACGTCGGTACCTTGAAGGTATACGAAGATGTCTTTCTGTTGATTAAGGTTTGTTAGAGATCTAGAGGGGTTCCTTGACAGTTTCACGTACCATTATGCTCGGTTGTTGCTTGAAGATGGAGATAATAAGGTTGATTGCTTCCGATCTGCTTTGTGTGTTGATGTTGGCAAACATGGGGAATTTGCTCAGGAATCCTATGAACGCGCTGAAGAAATTCTTTGATTGTCCACCATCACCATGTCCACCACCACCATGATGGCCATGTCCTCCATGATGATGTCCTCCACCACCATGATGGCCATGTCCTCCGAAGCCACCATGATGATGTCCACCGCCGTGGTGTCCACCGCCATGGCGACCACCGCCACGGTGTCCACCACCGTGACGTCCACCGCCACCGAAATGCCCGTTTACTCCATCTGCAAAAGGTGCCTTGCAAAGAGCTCACAAGACATCGGACGGACTCACCGTAAAACGACGCAAGCGTAAGAATCACGCAGAACGAAATCGTCGTCGAAGCCCTCATGCTGCTCTCTGCGGTGTGGAGCTAACCCTTTCAGGTATTTATATGGCCTCCGCCGATTTTCTTAAATGAAAGGAGAGCAGGTGCAGAATGCGATAAGAATTTGAGAAACAAAAGAATACAATCATAAAAAATGCTTCAATAAAGAGACTTCGGTTTCGATATCGCCCCAAGTAGGAGATTAGGACTCTGATATCCGGTGTTGCAGGACCACTTCCTGGTGCTGAAAACAATAAGCTGCGAGACGTATTGCTAAAATCGAACTTACTCCGTACATAAAACTAGGTCAACGTATATGGTTCAAATTTGGTTAAAAATAACCATGGAAGACATTGCTCCAGTAAACGCCAACCACAGTATCTCAATACAAATTAATCGCACCATAACTCAAATCATTTAAACCAAGCCAAAAGGCAGGACATCCTCCTCCTGCCAATTTTTGAATTCCCTCCATTTCTATTATCCAAAGTTGCCGTGTACTTTTAAATTCTATAGATTTTCTTGTGCTTCTTCTTTCTCCCCTTCTCTTCCTCTTTACCCCTCACTCCCGGCTACACACACCCCTCAAAATTCTCTTGAAATCCTCTTGAAGTCTCCACGACATTTATTTGTAATTCTTTAACCTGAGATCCTCTCGAAATTCTCCCTTCTAAAAATTCTCTTTTTTGATTTTAATGAAGTTCTCTTGGAATGTTCATAAAATTCTCTCAAAAAAATCAAATTCGCTTAATTTTTACTGAAGCTCAGTTACTTTGGAACTCATCTCAGATTTCTTTAAATCCATTCTTCATTCTGTAAAATCTCTCTAAAAATTCTAGTACGGCTCTCGGGGGGTCCTCTTGCAATTCCCTTGAAGTCTTCGTAACATTTTCTTTATATTATCTTAAAATTTTATTGATTTAACTTTTCTTAAGAAGGTATTTACGTATTGTAGCGAATATTCTAGAAATTTAGAGCGACATCGGGGCGCCATCAGGTCGCCATCAAGTCGATGAAGGATTAGACAATGGTAATAATAATAAGCAATGAAGGTGGATGTGTCTCATGTTCTGAACTTCGAAATATTGCCGAAGATCCCTTACCGATATTCTTCCCTTAAAAATTTGCAATCCCTTCAGAAATTTATTTATTATTTGATTGTTAGATCTCACTTTCCTCTTGAGTAACTAGGTCTTTCTGAAATGTAAAATTTTTCGTGTAGATCTGGTCGGTTTAACAGTAATTTACGGTGAAATTTCGAATTCTTTGGATATAGTAAAGCATTTCTTCTGATGTTGTCTCTTAAAATTTCCTTTAATATCAAAATTGTTATGACGTTTTTTACAATTCTGTTGAAACTCTTACAGTTCTCTCCAAACCCCCTCAGAACCTTTTTAAAAAATGTTATCTAGTTCAACTAGAATTTGGTAATTACTTCTCTCGATCTTCCCCTTTTTAAGTGCTCTTGAAATTCTAGGAATACTCGTCCCTCCTTTTCCTGGCACCAGGTAACACTTTTCCCCACAAAAGTTTAAGGTCTCAGGACTATGGTACTCTTTAAGAAAGGATCATCAGATTGCTTTCACCTAAAACCATCGTGTTCTGGGGGATTACTCCACCCTTTCCCAACCAAAACCTTTCGCCCGTTTGGGGAAATTGAATAACCCCCTCCCCCTCCCCAACAAAGAAGGTTTAATAATCTCCAACAAAAATAAATAAAGCGCGGCACGGTTTTAGAGCGACACAGCAGAAATGGGCTCTATAGTATCCTGTTTCTTCGCGATGACCTTCTGAAAACGACCATGAAACCATCGTATGCTGGGGAGTATTCCAAACCCCCCCAGACCCCCCGGGTAACACCTTTTCCCACAAGACTTTTAGCCCTCAGGAGTCGCATTTTACTTTTTAGGAAAGGACCATCAGATTATTTTCTCCTAAGAAGTGTTGTGGAATACAAAGAGAGGGGTATGGGGTGGGGAGGTATGGAATACCTACCAGAAAAGGAAGGTTTGATAATCTCCAAAAAAGTAAGTTAAAAGCGGAAGGGCTTTAAATCCACACATCAAGAAAGGGCTCTTTAGTACCTTGTTCCCTCCTCAAAACTTTTTGGTGACGGTCATAAACCATATCGTGTGCTGGAGGGTATTCCGCACCCCCCAAACCCCCCGGTAACACCGTTACCCGCAACACTTTTAGCCCTAAGGACTCGTAGAATATTTTTTAGGAAAAGACTATCACATTGTTTTCTCCTAAGAGGTATTATAAATATTGTTTGAGGGTATGGAATACCCCCAGCAAAGGAAGACTTGATCATTTCATAAAAATTAAGGGCATCCCTCCCTCTGTAACACCCGTCCCCACAAAACTTCGAGCCCTAAGTACTCGCATGTTACTGTTTCAGAATGGACCATCAGATTGCTTTGTCTTAAGGAGTGCTTGTCGAGAACATAGCACCGGGGGATCTGGAGGGAATGGAGTGCCTTCCCCAGCAAAGGAAGATTTGACATTCTTCGAAAATTTAGGTTACAAGCGGTAGGGTTATAAAGAGACAGCAAAAAGACCTCAATAGTATCTTGTTCGCTCGTGAAGGATATGGAACCGGTAATAAAGCCATCGTGTGTGTGTGGGGGGGGGGGGGGGTATTTAATTCATCACCAGGCGGATTGACACCCCCCCCCCCCCGCCTCTAAACGACCGTAAAGTCGCACGTTACACGTTACTTTTTCGGAAAGGACCATCCCATTGTTTTCCCACAAAAAGTGTTGTAGAATATAAAGCAGAAGGGGGAGGGGAGGGGTATTGAATACCTACCAGAAATGCAATCTCCGAAACTTTAAGTTAAAGTCTGAGAGAGGTTGTAACGCGACACAGCAAAAAAGGAATCAATACTATCCTGTTCCTACGTGATGATTTTCTGGAAACGGTAGTGAAGCTATCATGTGGGGGGGGGGGGGTTCCTTACCACTCAGACCCCTCGGTAACACCTTTCCACGCAAAACTTTTAAACCTCAGGACTCGCATGTTACTTTTCGGGGACCATTAGATTGTTGTACTCCCAAGACGTGTCGTGGAAAACAGCACCGGGGGGTATGGGATACCCCCATCAAAGAAATATGTGGTGAACTCCGAAAACAAATAAGTTAAAGGCGGTCAGAGTTTTAAAACGACACACCAAAAAGGGACTCGTTAGTACCCTGTGTCCCCGTTATGACTTTCTGAATACGGGCATATAACCATCGTGTATTCCATACCCCCCAGACCCCCCGGTTACACCTTTTCCCACAAAACTTTTCGTCCTTAGGGCTCACATGATCATCACATTATTTTTTCTTAAATGGTGTAGAGGGCACCGAGGGGTTTGGGGGAGGAAGAGTTGGTAATTTCCGAAAAATTAGGTTAACAGCGGCAAGGTTTTAAAGTGACACAGCAAAAATGGGCTCGTTTCTTCGTGACGATTTCCTAATACCCCCAAACCCTCCAGTGCTATGTCCTCATAATACCTCTGGGGAGGAAATAATCTAATGAGTCCTTCCTAAACAGTCAGATGTGAGTCGTGAGGGCTAAAAGTTTTGGGAAAATTGCTAATCACCAAAACTTTGCCAGCGTTAAAGCGACACAGGAAAAATGGACTCGATAGTATCTTGTTTCTTCGTGAGGACCTGCTGAAATCGGTCATAGAACCATGGTGTGCTGGGGGAGGGGGGGGGGATTCCATATCCCTCAGACCCCACAAAACTTTTCGCTCTCAGGGCTCACATGTTCCTTTTTATGAAAGATTATTACATTGTTTTCTCCTAAAGGGTGTTTTGAAGAAACATAACCATGGAGTCTGGGGGGTACGAAGCGCCCCTATCAAAGGAAGATTGGATAATCTTAAATTTTAGTAAATAATTTTAAATCGACACAGCAAAAGTGGGCTCGATATTATCCTGTTCCTCCGTGATGACTTTCGTGCCTGGGGTATTCAATACCCCCCAGACCCGGTAATACCTTTCCCCACAAAACTTTTAGCCCCACATGTCACTTTTTAGGAGAGGATCATCACATCCTTTCCCAAGAAGTATTGCAGAGAACATAGCACGGGGGCGGTCTGGGCAGTATGGAATCCCCCCCCCCCCTGAAAAAGACGGTTGGATGACAATTTCCCAAAAATTAAATCTCGATGGCAGGTAACACTTTCACCTATAAAACTTTTAGCCCTTTAGCACCTGGGGGGGGGGGGATACTCCACAGCAAAAGAAGATTTTATTATTATTTCCGAAAAATTAAGTTAAAAACGGAGATCTCGATAGAATCAATGGTGTGCTGCTGGGGGAGGAGTGTGTTAGAAAACCTTTTACAAATTAAAAGGTCATCAAAGTTTCTGGACCTTGTAGGACCTTGCGCACCACAGAAGATCTTTCACGCCATTTTGAGAGCCTTGAAGATTTCTAAAGGTCTGTCATAGTCTTTAAGGGCCATGAAAAATCACGAACCGACTAGGCTAGATCTCTGTAACGATTTATTTTCTTAATTACAAGTATTGTTATTGTTCAAGGTATATTTTGTTGAATGATCCTCGTAGCAGTCGTGACCTTCGAATAGATCATGACTCCGTCCATTGTTGAATTTTAATTGCCGCAATTCTTAGTGTAAAGCGATTGAATTCTGATTTGGGGATGCCTCAATGTTTCGTGGACGGAATTTCGCCCTGAGCGCTGCATTTTTTTTTCTGGCTAATCGTAAGTATCCGCCATTTTTTTTCTTTAGATTGGCTGATATTTCATATATAATTTTCCATCGACGATTGTTGCACGTTCATTTATAATTAGCTCTCTTATTAGAGGTTATGTTCATTTTTGGGTTATCAACGCAGAGGGTTACCTGTGATTTTCTTTTAGGGTTCTTAATTTTAGTTCGAATTTAATTTGCAGTTTTAATTGCAAATCTCAGTATAATACCGGATACGTTTTACATACGCATGTAGATAACCTTGAAGAGTTCACCATTGGTGCAGGAGTGCCAACACCTTTTCTGATAGGGGTCGCCATTTACTGAAACTGGATCACTGGGTCATGCAGCAGATTTGATAACAAGATTCCATCCACAACCAAGAAACAACGTCCGGCTTCTGAGGCTATAGGGGCTCTATGCAGATGCCTAATTCGGATTTGCAAGGTTTTGTCGATAGCCAAGGTGAGGGATTTCGAGTGCCTGAACTTTGCTAGTTGTTTCAAACTTTCGTTTTAATGTTTCAAGGGACTACGAGGTTCTTCTTCCTTTTAAGGGTGGAGGATCGTTTGGAAGAATGCCCAAGAAGGTAAGGTATGCCACCACAAACCCATGGTAATGAACGACGTCACCTGGTGCACGAGAGGAGTAAATTCACAGAAAATCCGGAGAAATATTACAGTGTTATCTAAACGGTCAGAGTCGGTTTAACTTGGAGGTACCAGTGACAGTGCACCTCCTGAGGAACGAAGGGTTCCACTCCCTTGACCGAATAGGTCATCGCAAGTCTAAAACAAAGTTGATTAACGGAAGTGGTCCGTAAAAGCACGATATCCCCGTAATCATCCTTCCTTAACGCGTGATTGCAGTAACGAGGCGATTGGAGCGTATTTTTCTTCGCCTTATCTTCAGAAACTCCAATTAGCCCAATTTCGAGGAAAAAAAACGGTGTGCGATTTTTGACTGTTATAAAAAGGCGACCTCGTTGCCAAACTGCAACAGTTCGTGTCCCAAAATGTCACCGCTTTCTGTTCTTTTGTGCGCGTTGGTCGCCCTCTCACCTCTTGGTAAGTGAAATTCTGGCGAAAACTGTTGCGAATCTTCATTTTAGGATCCTCCAATGGATGGGTAAGGTTTCTTGAAGTGCAGGCGACGATTTAGCCATTTCCACTTAGGACTTTCCCAAAGGCCACTACGGCAGTTGGCGCGAGCGTTTGGCTTCCGACAAGGAGAAGAAAGGCGACGATTGGAGACCTCAACATTTCACTCCTCGGTCCGACTTGCTGCACCACGAAGCTTCTCTACATGATTGGGTGAGGTGGGCAATTGCGCTTTTGTCATATAATTTGAATTGCCTCTAGGTGGAAAAACACCTGAAGCCGCTCGCGGCGAAGCATGGACCTTTCTTCCGACGACCACAACACCACGAGAACGAAGCACCTCCACACGGTATGGTAAGGCCGTCGGTAGGAGACGAACCGATTCCAGAATCGGTGAAGGTATGCCAAGGTCTTGCACGGGCAATGATTACCCGCGTTCATTTTTCAGAAGGATGTCCTGGACCGGCTCAAAGAGATAGAAAAGATGCTAATAGCTGAACTGGTACGGCCCAGCTCATTTAATTTCGTAGCTTTAAAGAGTAACGTAGTTTTTGGTTTCAGTCTACAGGTCACCAAACTCCAGCAGTAGCGGAGGTGGTAAGTGCCAAGAATTGAGGAGAGCTTTAATTTACTTACATTTCGACAACCCAATGCAGAATAATTTCTTTTGTTTAGGTTGTCAACACCGAGAAAAACGACCACTCTCCTCCTCCTCCAACAGAGAAACCGGTAGGTCTAACCCACAAAGTGCATATTTGTAACGGTCTATATCTCTTGGTTTTAGGCTACGAAGAAACCCACTGAAAAACCTAAGGTAGGTTGGCACTACACCACTGCAACTATCAGGTCACTAATTATTAAACGCATCACATTTTGAGGGGCTCCTCCTTCTTCAGCATAAAATCGTGGGATAATGTTCACCCATTTTGCTTAATTTCAGGATGTAACAACGGAAAAAGCAACCACGCCCCCTAAGAGTAAAACGGTGGGTGCATTGCGAAAGTGATCTACGCAACTAAAAAACAAATCTTTTAGACTACCGATTCGTAGAGTCTGGGATCACCCCGTGGGAGATGTTTTAGCTAGGTCAAGTGGATCAGCACAGTGTCAACCGCTTTCAATAAAATGTTTGCCGAGAAATCTTTGTTTTGTGTAGTTCGACCTTTAATTACAAACGTTCAAAAGGGTATCAAATGAATGGAGTTTAAACCTCCTATTAACATAATTTGCGAATAATTTAGTCTCTTGTTACATTCGTAGAGCGAGAACTAAGCAAACGAATTCACGATTAAAGATGTCGGTCTGCGTTAATAAGAAGCAATTTTGTGAGCGTTCATTAATTAATAAGGGATAGAGGGAATTAATTATGGGAAATCAACTTTGAGGATTCGTGGTTAAGCACGTAGCGTGACCAGTGCGTGATCCTTAGGGAAAATTAAAGTTCCCTGATTCGCGTTCAGTCGTCAATGCGACCAGTTAATTTCCAATATAAAATTATTTGGAGTATAAACTATGGACAACTTATCCCACCATTTTAACCGTACATTTGCAAATTCGGGTAGACAACTACCAAGGAATAACCTCTTAGTCTTAATCCCTAAGTAAATTTGTGCGGAATTCATCGAGGGCAAAAGTCGTTATTGCCCTGGCATAATGGAAAATCGGAAGCCACCCAGCACAAAGAAGGAATTAATTACTTTTTCCAGGACGGTTGTTTTCGGAGTAAGGTCATCAGTGTCTTTCTGTGGAAGGTACTCCATACCCCCCAGACCAACGGTCCTTCGTGCCTCCTAAAAACGGTCACCCCTTACAATTCTCGTGTAGGTAGATAATCTCCCAAAAAAAGGAAAGTCCTACAAAGTATTAATACCATATTAATTATTGGGATCTGGGGGATATGGAATGCCCCAACAGTTGCTTTGGGTGTGGGTTTATTGTCTTTGGGGGGGAGGGGGGGGAAATTCCACTTGGAACCTTCCGAAAAAAGAAAAACTTTGGTGACACTTCCTACAAATAATTTTTTTTCATTTTAAAGTCATTTAATTAGTAATTATTTGGGATAATTCTCTTAAAGGAACTTAATAACGAAAACTTTGTATAACGACTTTACATATCTTTTTCTTAATCATCAGCATAGGTATTTATGATTTAACAAAAGGTGTCTTTAGGCTGGGGGGATATTATACCCCCACACTCCTAAAACGTTCACGCAGAAAATAAAACTTTGATGATATTTCCTTCAAGTAATTACCCCCTTACCAATTGTAAATCATTTGTTAAGATTTCTATGAGCATTATACATACCATAGAAATTGATTAGTGGAATGCTATTCGTAAACCACAGGTGGAAATGACGCCCGTCTTGTCTACGTCGTTTGATTTCTGTGGGGCATTGTATTACTATTTTTTATAATTGGTTTCGAAAATCTCGCCGACTAGATGTCGGGAAATTTAGATCATATTCCGTCCGTCTTAATTAAGGCTATTTGGTTGCAACCGATAATTCGGGATGCGTGGAAACTGGAAATTTGGCGTATTGTATAAGAGAAATGGGTGGTGATGTATGACTCTAGTTTTAGATTTATATACTTATTCGATTTTTATGTTATTTTGCTTTTTTTCTTGCCTTACTAACTCTGACCGTGGAAGCCTCCGCTCTGACACCTTAGGCTCCTGTTTGATTCGTAGGCAGGTATTTCCATAACGAATTGGTGATTAAGGTTGGCCGTTCGAGTTAACAATTCGCCAGTTTGGAATATCACCCAGAAAAAGAATAATGGTAGACATTTCCTACAAGGTATTGAAAAGTATGCTCTAAAAAATATTTTGGGAGACAGTTCAGTATCGGGGGGTCTGGGGGGTATGTAATACCCCCAGGAAAAAAGACACTTGATAGTCCTTTTACGAAACTTAACTGTCATGATTAGAGACTATAGCAAGTCTATTCTCAGGAAAAGGTAATCTATTCCTCCTGTGTGCTGGGGGGAATTCCATACCCTCCAGACCCCCCGGTATTACACTCACCCCCAAAACGTTCAGTTCTCAGAACTTTTGTGTATGGAATATCACCCAGAAAAAGAATAATGGTAGACATTCCCTACAAGGTATTGAAAAGTATGCTCTAAAAAACATTTTGGGAGACAGTTCAGTATCGTAGGGTGTGGGGGGTATGGAATACCCCCAGGAAAAAAGATATTTGATAGTCCTCTTACGAAACGTAACTGTCATGATCAAAGACTATAGCAAGTCTATTCTCAGGAAAAGGTAATCTATTCCTCCTCTGTGCTGGGGGGTATTCCATACCCCCAGACCCCCCGGTATTACACTCACCCCCAAAACGTTCAGTTCTCAGAACCTTTGTGTATGGAATATTACCCAGAAAAAGAATAATGGTAGACATTCCCTACAAGGTATTGAAAAGTATGCTCTAAAAGACATTTTGGGAGACAGTTAAGTATCGGGGGGTCTGGGGGGTATGGAATACCCCCAGGAAAAAAGATATTTGATAGTCCTCTTACGAAACGTAACTGTCATGATCAAAGACTATAGCAAGTCTATTCTCAGGAAAAGGTAATCTATTCCTCCTGTGTGCTGGGGGGTATTCCATACCCCCCAGACCCCCCGGTATTACACTCACCCCCAAAACGTTTAGTTCTCAGAACTTTTGTGTATGGAATATTACCCAGAAAAATAATAATGGTAGACATTCCCTACAAGGTATTGAAAAGTATGCTCTAAAAAACATTTTGGGAGACAGTTCAGTGTCGGGGGGTCTGGGGGGTATGGAATACCCCCAGGAAAAAAGATACTTGATAGTCCTCTTACGAAACTTAACTGTCATGATTAGAGACTATAGCAAGTCTATTCTCAGGAAAAGGTAATCTATTCCTCTTGTGTGATATTGAATATTTCCCAAAATAGGGGAAATTGTTGACCTTTCATTCAAAGATTTGATGACCCGTTTTTTTGAAACTTAGCTGTCGCATAACAGTTTTCAGGAAAAAGTAATTGCTTCATCCTGTGTGCTGGAGGGTACTTTATACCCCCCAGAGCCCCTAGTGGTACATTCTACACAAAAAGTTCAGCCCTTAGAACCTTCCTCTATAAAATGTCCACCATAAAAGTACTAATTGTTGACATTCTCTACAAAGTAATGAAAACTATGCTGTTCAGCACCGGGGGGGGGGGGGGTTTGATGGTATTTCATACCCCCGACCCCCCGATGTTACACTGTCCTCCCAAACTCCCCAGGAACAGAGATATTAGATAATCCTCGCTCTTGAAATAGCAAATTGTTTCTTCCTGTGTGTTGGGAGGGAGGGGGGGGGGATTCCAAACCCCGGTGTTACGGTTCTCCTCCAAAAACGTTCAGCCCTTAGAATATCGTGTATGGAGTATCTCCCACGAGGGGAAAAATTGTTGACGTTCCCACACAAGTAATTAAAAACTTGATTTAAGATTTTGGGGGCAATTTAGCACCGGGAGGGGGGGGGGGCTTGGGATATAACTCAGGAAAAGAGATAATCCTTTTTTAAAACTTACTTTTCAGGAAAAGGAAATTGTACCTCCTGTGTGCTGGGGGTATTCCGGACCCCCCGGAAAAAAGGCGCTCGAGCGCCGAGCACTTTAACTAAACGTTCGAGTATCGAGCACCAAGCGGCTGCTCCAAAAAGTGCTTTTCTCGCAAGCAGTACCCAACTCTGCTTAGATCTTTCATGTATGAAATATCTCCCATACTTGACACTTGACACTTCACACTTGACACTTGACCTGACGTAACTGCCTCTCCCAGAATTTAGTCAACTTTCGTGGAGATATTATATCCCCCGTAGGAACTAAGAGGGTGCATCTCCACCACTTTTGTTGCCATTTCGCTGGGTCGCGACGTATTCCAAACAGTGTGGTGGATTTTGTGGAGTGGGGAGGTTGTGGGGAAAAATTGTTGACGCTCCCTACAATATAATCAGAGATCTGCTTCAAAATTTTCGAGTACAGTTTACCACCGGGGGGTCTGGGGGGTATGGAATACTCCCTAAGAACAGAGATATTTGATAATTCTCTGTTGAAACTTAACTGTCTTGATACGTACTCCCCAGACCCCCCGATGTTACATTCTTCCCCTAAACGTTCAGCCCTTAGAACTTTCATGTAGGAAAAATTGTTCACATTCCCTAAAAATTAATCAAAAAAGGTTTTGGGAGACGGTTTAGTTCCGGGGTCGTCTGGGGTGCATGGAATGCCCCCCCCCCCAGGAAAACATTTTACCCCATAAATAGCTCCCAGGACTATCGTAATAGTTTTTGAATTTATTTGGTTACTATACCACTTCAGTCTCCCTCCACCTTTGTAAGTTTGTGGGAGAAACTTCTACATTTTTGATCTAATCTTTTGCTGAATTGTAGCATGTAAAGTCAGTTAACTAATTTTTCAATTTAAAGATAATCTTTTTGAGGCAGAAATTTTTTGAAAATTTCAAAACAACTTTTTTTAAAACTCGAAAAATTCACATTTTTGATCGAACATCGTTCCATTTGTTGAAAATCGTGGAAATAGCAAATGACGAATCAATGCAATTCTTCGATTTTTCTGCTCTCTACATGTTTTTCCAGATTTTCTTTCTCATTCGTCTTCAATTTCCCATTTTCATCTTCAACTATTAAAACCATTTCTGATCCTTCCTGTACCTTTATGATTTTTGCTACAATTTTTTTAAGGAGAAATGGTTACCAGGGGAATAAAATGGATAAGAATGTGCCCTGGAGGATAACACCCATGACCTCTCTGCTACTGTCACACAGCATCAAAACTCCCCCCCCCCCCTCCCCCATCTACCACTTTTATGAATCACACATTCACAATTCTTGTGCGACTGATTTTTTGATTATTGCTATTGCTCTTGTTGTGCCTTTATTATTTATTTACCATGCGATAAGAGCGACTTATGAACTATTAAACTCTGACATTATAACTTCAAAGGTACACGAGATAAGATCTCATTTACGACGTTCCTTATGGCCGTATTGTAAATACCCGCGAAGTCCTGGATGACGCCGTCGTAAATAGCTTGGGCGTGATCCTTGACCAAAGCGTTCAGCCCTTCGGCGCGCTCCGGAGACTCCTCGCTAACGTAATTTACTGATAACGTCGCCTTCAGGAATTTCAGGGTGCTATCCGTCACTTGAGCCGATACTGCACCGTGGGGTTTATGGTCAACCTTTACCGTTATGCCGAACACTACATCTGCGTCGTCTGGAAAACGTTTCGTTAGTCTACGTTCATCTTCAGGGCGATGGTACCGTAAGACCAGCTCCCCTGGCCCGAGCAGCTCAAGTTCTTTCCGTCCAGGATGAGGTCCTTGTAATTGAAATCGGCGAATCCTTTTATTTGCGGGTTCGAGAAATGGTACTGGTATGAGAACTCGTGTGCGTGATGTTCGAAGCTGCAAAGACAGGGTTTAGTTACCTACTCGACGTGGAAAGTGCAGAAACTCACTCTATTTTTGTAATGTTGCACACTGTCAAATTATACATGCGAATGTTCGTGTATTCCCCAACGAATTTGATTGGTGGAGTTTTGATATCGTGCAAGAGCGACGCGTGCTCAATTTTTAGCGGTTCTAGTAAAACGGGTAGCTGGTGCTCTGGAACTCCTAAAACATTCAGTAGTAGTGCTATGGAGAGTATACGTTGAGTTACCGTGCATAAATGCCAACATCACGTCCTGCGTTAGATCTTCGACGCACTGCTTCTTGTTTTCTTCATCCGGTCGACAAAGCTTCCATTTGTCTGGAAAGTTTGTTCAAAAATGGTACCTTTTGAGTTACGGTACTTACGCTTATGGGATGCGCAAATCGCTAACGACAGCAGGCATGAAAGTATCAAAATCTTGCCCATTTTGAATAATCACCGACTTCTAGGATTTTTTATTGATATATATATAGCCTTTCCCCGACCCTTTTATCTTAATTGGCGTTATCGGCGGGCTTTGCGTAACATTGAGATTCCTTCTAATTTGGTAACTATTTACCAATTTTCTGTTTACTTCCATAATACCGTTCGGGTCAATTGATGTCATAAAAAAATGAATCTTTTCATTTGAACTTGAGACCTTAAAGATATGATTTTGAACGTTCAATCATTAAATCCAATCCATCTAACTTCACTTTCAATTTTAAAACTTTAATCCTGAGCCTTGGCGGACAATATTCGCAATTCTACACCTTAAATAGGGAATTAGAGGCCTTAATTTTCAAAGGCTGTAAGCCCTCGTGCCTCATTTTGAAATTGTAAGCCTTGAAAATCAAATTTCATAACTCAAAAAACTAGTCTTAGCCTTGCATTTCCAATTAAGATCTTAAAGATATGATTATGAACGTTCAGCATTAAATCCAATCAATCTAACTTCACTTTCAATTTTAAAACTTTTTGAGCCTTCGCAGACACCATTCGCAATTCTACACCTTAAATTGGGAATTAGAGGCCTTAATCTTCAAAGGCTTTGACCCCTCGCGCTTCATTTTTAATTTTCAAGAATTGAAAATCAAGTTTCAATACTAAAATTGATTAATCTGAGCCTTTTCATTTGGCATTGAAACCTTAAAGGTACGATTTTGGACCTTCAATAATTAAATCCAATCCTTCGAAATTGAATTTCAATTTTAAACCTTTAATCCTGAGGTTTTGCGGACACAATTTGCAATTGTACGTCTTACATTGGGAAATAGAGCCCTTAACTTTCAAAGATCTTGAGCCCTAACGCTTCAATTTTAATTTTCAAGCCTTGAAAGTCAAGTTTTAGAACTCAAACAATGAACCTTGACCTTTTCATTTAGAATTGAGACCTTAAAGGTTTGATTTGAACCTTCAATTGTTAAATCCAATCCTTCGAACTTCAATTTCAATTTTAAACCTGTGATACTGAGCCTTAGCGGACACAATTTGCAATTCTAAACCTTAAATTGGGAATTAGAGGACTTAATCTTCAAAGGCTTTGACCAATCGCGCTTCATTTTTTAATTTTCAAGCCTTGAAAATCAAGTTTCAATACTAAAATTGATGAATCTCAGCCTTTTCATTCGGAATTGAGACCTTAAAGGTACGATTTTGGACCTTCAATCATTAAATCCAACCCTCCGAAATTGGATTTCAATTTTAAAACTTTAATCCTGAGCCTTCGCGGACACAATTTGCAATTTTACATATTATTTAATTTTGAAATACTGGTTTTACATTTAAAAGGCTTTGAGCCCTTACGACTTATTTTGAGTGTGTAAGCCTTGAAAATCAAATTTTACAACTCAAAAAATTACTCTTAGTCTTGCATTTAAAGTTAAGATCTTTAAGGTATGACTTTGAACCTTCAGTCATTAAAATTCCAACCTTCCTAACTTCACCTTCATTTTTAAAACTTGAATCCTGAGCCTTGGCGGACACAATTCGCAATTCTACACCTTCAATTGGGAATTAGATGCTTTAATCTTCAAAGGCTTTGACCCCTCGCGCCTCATTTCTAATTTTCAAGTCTTGAAAATCAAGTTTCAATACTAAAATTGATGAATCTTAGATTTCTCATTTGTAATTGAGACCTTAAAGTTTAATTCACTTTCAATGTTAAACTTTTAATCCTGAACCTTCACGGAGACAAGTTGCAATTGTGCATCTTTAATTGGGAAATAGAGCCCTTAACTTTCAAAGATCTTGAGCCCTAACGCTTCAATTTGAATTTTCAAACCTTGAAAATCAAGTTTTAGAACTCAAAAAATGAACCTTTGCCTTTTCATTTAGAATTGAGACCTTAAAGGTTTGATTTGAACCTTCAATTGTTAAATCCAATCCTTCGAACTTCAATTTCAATTTTAAACCTTTAATCTTAAGTCTTCCCGGACACAATTTGCAATTATACACCTTAAATTGGGAAACATTGACCTTAATTTTCCAGGGCCCTGAGTCCTAACGCTTCAGTTTTAATTTTCAAACCTTGAAAGTCAAGTGTTAGAACTCAAAAAAGAACCTTAGACTTTTCATTTGGAATTGAGACCTTATAAAGGTATGATTTTGAGCCTTCACTCATTAAATCCAATTCTTCTAACTTAAATTTCAATTTTAAACCTGTGATACTGAGCCTTAGCGGATAGAACTTGCAATTCTACACTTTAAATTGGGAATTAGAGGCCTTAATCTTCAAAGGCTTTGAGCCCTCATGCTTCATTTTAAATTTGTAAGCATTGAAAGTCAAGATTCACTAATAACATTGATGAATGTTAGCTTGTTAATTTGAGATTAAGACCTTCAAAGTATCATTTGAACCTTCAGTCATGAAATCCAATCCCTCGTACTTCAATTTCCATTTTAAACCTTTAATCCTAAACCTTCGCGAACACAATTTGCAATTGTACATGTTTAATGGGGAAATAGAGGCCTTCATTTTCAAAGGCTTTGATCCCTCGCGCTTCATTTTTAATTTTCAAGCCTTGAAAATCAAGTTTCAATACTAAAATTGATTAATCTGAGCCTTTTCATTTGGTATTGAAACCTTAAAGGTACGATTTTGGACCTTCAATAATTAAATCCAATCCTTCGAAATTGAATTTCAATTTTAAACCTTTAATCCTGAGGTTTTGCGGACACAATTTGCAATTGTACATCTTACATTGGGAAATAGAGCCCTTAACTTTCAAAGATCTTGAGCCCTAACGCTTCAATTTTAATTTTCAAGCCTTGAAAGTCAAGTTTTAGAACTCAAACAATGAACCTTGACCTTTTCATTTAGAATTGAGACCTTAAAGGTTTGATTTGAACCTTCAATTGTTAAATCCAATCCTTCGAACTTCAATTTCAATTTTAAACCTGTGATACTGAGCCTTAGCGGACACAATTTGCAATTCTAAACCTTAAATTGGGAATTAGAGGACTTAATCTTCAAAGGCTTTGACCAATCGCGCTTCAGTTTTTAATTTTCAAGCCTTGAAAATCAAGTTTCAATACTAAAATTGATGAATCTCAGCCTTTTCATTCGGAATTGAGACCTTAAAGGTACGATTTTGGACCTTCAATCATTAAATCCAACCCTCCGAAATTGAATTTCAATTTTAAAACTTTAATCCTGAGCCTTCGCGGACACAATTTGCAATTTTACATATTATTTAATTTTGAAATACAGGTTTTACATTTAAAAGGCTTTGAGCCCTTACGACTTATTTTGAGTGTGTAAGCCTTGAAAATCAAATTTTACAACTCAAAAAATTACTCTTAGTCTTGCATTTAAAGTTAAGACCTTTAAGGTATGACTTTGAACCTTCAGTCATTAAAAATCCAACCTTCTTAACTTCACCTCCAATTTTAAAACTTGAATCCTGAGCATTGGGGGACACAATTCGCCATTCTACACCTTCAATTGGGAATTAGATGCTTTAATCTTCAAAGGCTTTGACCCCTGGCGCCTCATTTCTAATTTTCAAGTCTTGAAAATCAAGTTTCAATACTAAAATTGATGAATCTTAGATTTTTCATTTGTAATTGTGACCTTAAAGTTTAATTCACTTTCAATTTTAAACTTTTAATCCTGAGCCTTCACGGAGACAAGTTGCAATTGTACATCTTACATTGGGAAATAGAGGCCTTAATTTTCAAAGGCTTTGAGCCTTCGGCCTCATTTTGAATTTGTAAACCTTGAAAATCAAACTTAAGAACTCAAAAAATTAATCTTAGCCCTTGCATTTCAAATTAAGACCTTTAAGGTATGATTTTGAGCCTTCAATCATTAAAAATCCAATCCTAACTTCTCTTTCAATTTTAAAACTTTAATTCTGAGACTTCGCGGACACAATTCGTAATTCTTCACCATAAATTGCGAATTAAAGGCCCTAATCTTTAAAGGCTTGGACCCCTCGCGCTTCATTTTTAATTTTCAAGAATTGAAAATCAAGTTTCAATACTAAAATTGATTAATCTTAGCCTTTTCATTTGGTATTGAGACTTTAAAGGTACGATTTTGGACTTTCAATCATTAAACCCAATCTTTCGAAACTGAATATCAATTTTAAACCTTTAATCCTGAGGTTTTGCGGACACAATTTGCAATTGTACATCTTACATTGGGAAATAGAGCCCTTAACTTTCAAAGATCTTGAGCCCTAACGCTTCAATTTTAATTTTCAAGCCTTGAAAGTCAAGTTTTAGAACTCAAACAATGAACCTTGGCCTTTTCATTTAGAATTGAGACCTTAAAGGTTTGATTTGAACCTTCAATTGTTAAATCCAATCCTTAGAACTTCAATTTCAATTTTAAACCTGTGATACTGAGCCTTAGCGGACACAATTTGCAATTCTAAACCTTAAATTGGGAATTAGAGGACTTAATCTTCAAAGGCTTTGACCAATCGCGCTTCATTTTTAATTTTCAAGCCTTGAAAATCAAGTTTCAATACTAAAATTGATGAATCTCAGCCTTTTCATTCGGAATTGAGACCTTAAAGGTACGATTTTGGACCTTCAATCATTAAATCCAACCCTCCGAAATTGAATTTCAATTTTAAAACTTTAATCCTGAGCCTTCGCGGACACAATTTGCAATTTTACATATTATTTAATTTTGAAATACTGGTTTTACATTTAAAAGGCTTTGAGCCCTTACGACTTATTTTGAGTGTGTAAGCCTTGAAAATCAAATTTTACAACTCAAAAAATTACTCTTAGTCTTGCATTTAAAGTTAAGATCTTTAAGGTATGACTTTGAACCTTCAGTCATTAAAATTCCAACCTTCCTAACTTCACCTTCATTTTTAAAACTTGAATCCTGAGCCTTGGCGGACACAATTCGCAATTCTACACCTTCAATTGGGAATTAGATGCTTTAATCTTCAAAGGCTTTGACCCCTCGCGCCTCATTTCTAATTTTCAAGTCTTGAAAATCAAGTTTCAATACTAAAATTGATGAATCTCAGATTTCTCAT